TTCCTTCCTTCCTTCCTTCCTTCCTTCCTTCCTTCCTTCCTCCTCCCTCCCTCCCTCCCTCCCTCCCTCTCTCCCTCTCTCCCTCTCTTTCTCCCTTTCTCCCTTTCTTTCTTTCTTTTGCTTGAACTCAGGGCCTGAGCTCTTTTTTTGTTCAACCTTAGCACTACTGCTTTGAGCCACAGCTTCACTTTCAGTTTTCTTGTAGTTAATTGGAGATAAGAATTCCAGAAACTTTCCTGCCTGGCCTGGCTTCAAGCCTACATCCTTAGATCTCAGCTTCCTGAGTAGTTAGGATTACAGGTGTGAGCCATCAGTTCCAGGCCGGGGCTGTGCCCCCCACAATTACCCCCTCTCCTGGGGCTTGAACTCTGGATGCTTTCCCTGAGCTCCTTTTGTTCAAAGCTAGCACTCTACTACTTGAGCCACAGGACCACTTTCAGCTTTTTTTGTGATTAATTGGAGAAAAGAGACCCATGGACTTTCCTGCCTGGGCTGGCTTCGAACCATGATCCTCAGATCTTGGCCTTCTGAGTAGTTTAGGATTATAGGTGTGAGCCATTGGCATCTCGGTTGGACTTTTTTTCCCTCCAGTTGTGGGGCTTGACCTCTGGGCCTAGGTGCTGTCCCTCAGCTCTTCAGCTCAAGGAGAGTGGTATATTGGAGAGAAGAGTGTCACGGACTTTCTTGCCTAGGCTGGCCTTGAACCTTCATCCTCAGATCTCAGCCTTCTGAGTAGCTAGGATTACAGGCGTGAGCCACTGGTGGCTGGCATGGGCTGTTTCTTTAAAACAAAACAACAAAAATCAAAACATGCACCTTCCATGTGACCAAGCAAGTAAATTCTTTGGCATTTATTCCAGAAACATGAGATCTGATTATATAGGAAAAACCACTTGTCCTTTTATTCTCTCAGTCACAACTAAAGAAAAGCAATTTCTTCCTTCCATCCTCAGTACTTTTCTCCTTGCACCAGACTTTTCCCTACACTGACTTAATCTCTGATTCAGAGCAGGGACTGGAGATCGAACTCTGCACCTCCTGCTTGCTTGGCAGGTACTCTACACCTGAGCCATGGTCCACTTTATTTTTCATAGGGAGTTTTGCATTTTTGTTCAAGTTAGCTTTGGACTATTTTCTACCTCCCAAGTAGCTGTGGTGACCGGTATGAGGCTTGTCTTTCTGGTTCCCAGCCCCAGGGCTTTCTGGAGCCTCTGGAAAGTTGCCTTGTTAGAACAAAACATGCTGTCATTCACAAATCCAAGAGTGTAGCAGTCTATCAGGACGTGGGTTATCCCTCGAACCCTTCCTATTGAGGAACTTGCAAGAGTATTAGCTGCTGTTTGTAGAATCAGCAGCAGATGAGATGGGTTTCAGGAATTATTATCTCACACTTATATTCTCACAGAGCCTCTATGTGAGTTACAAGTCACTGATACCCGGAAACAACCCAGATGTCCTTTAGTAGGCAAATGATTAAACAATTCCACACTCTGGAATATTAGTGCTAAAGAAATAGCAGCTTTTGGAATATCCAACAGTCTGGATCATTCTACAGAGCATTCTTGGTGGAAAAGGCTGTTCCCAGAGGGTTGCAATGTGTCTGATTTCATTTATGTAACTTTTTTTTTTTTGCAAGTCCTGGGCCTTGAACTCAGGGCCTGGGCACTGTTCCTGAGCTACTTTTGTTCAAGGTTAGCACTCTACCACTTGAGCCACAGCACCACTTCTAGCTTTTTCTGTTTATGTGGGAGTGAGGAATTGAACCAAGAGCTTCATGCATGTTAGGCAAGCACTCTCTCACTAAGCCATTTTCTCAGCCCTCATTTCTGTAACATTCTTGAGAGATGGCAAAATGACAGAAGTGGAGAACAGATGTGATTAGTGTATGTCAAGACAAGAGTTGAGTGGGGTGGGAGGGGGGTGAGTGGGGATCCAAAAGGGCAGCCTGGAGGATCTCTGTGGTGATGGCGTGTTCTGTATCATAGTAAGTCCTTGTCTCACAAGCACCTTGGCAGAGTGGAATCTTCTTTTTCTCGTCTGTTGTGGGGCTTGAACTCAGGGCTTGGGTGCTGTCCCTCAGCTCGTCAGCTCAAGGCAAGCGCTCTACCACTTGAACCACAGCACCACCTCCAGTTTTTCAGTTTTATTGGAGCTAAGAGTCTCATGGACTTTTCCTACCCAGGCTGGCTTTGAACCACGATCCTGAGTGGAATCTTGTACTGCATTGTTGCCCATGCTACTATAGGAGCAACTGAGTAAAGGGTATTAATTCTCACACCGACATGTAACTCTACCTGAGGTGGATTTGCCCAGTTATCTTACAATATAACAGTCTAATGGAAGAAATGATCATTGTAAAATGAGAATGCCATGCAGAAGAGTGTTTAATGAAAAAATACACTATCTTCTTCCCCACCTCCTGCCTCCACCCAGACTGTCCCTCCTTGCTAATTGCCAACCATGTTGTTCACCATTATTATCTGCATTTCTCTGAATAGTTCAGAACTGATACTGCTTAAAGCACACAAAGCTGGGTGCCAGTGGCTCACACTTGTTATCCTAGCTACTCAGGAGGCTGAGATCTGAGGATGATGGCTTGAAGGAAAAGTCCTCGAGACTCATATTTCAAATTAACTACCACCCCTCACCCCTGCAACAACAACAACAAAAGCCAGGGATATAGTTCTAGTCTTGAGCACAAAAGAAACAGCTCCTAAGCTGTGAGTTCAAGCCTCAAGCCTGGCGCACATACACACACACTCAACAAAATTAAACCTCTGGACTTGTTTGATTACCCTGCCCTGGTAGTTTGTCCTTGTGTTTCACAAGAGATCTACAGGGCCACTTTCCATCCCTGGGTTCCCTGAAGGAGACACAGCAGGTGATGGTTTATGCCAGGGCGGGCCCAGCTGACAGTGTGCTGTGTATACTCACGACAGGGATTGAGCCCACTGGAAACATGGTAAAGCAGCCAGCCAAGTTCACTGTGGACACCATCAGCGCCGGGCAGGGAGATGTGATGGTGTTCATTGAAGACCCTGAAGGGAATAAGGAAGAGGTATGTGCAAGGTGCTGCTCTCCTCTCGGAGACTGTGCCTCTGTTTTTTCCCTTATAGCTCAGCCAAAATATTCTTTACCGAAAAGGATACTGAGGCTTTTGATGGTTAATTCGTCCAACAACTGTGCTTTGTATCTAATCTACATTGATTCCCAGTGCAACAATGTTTAATAAGATGATTTTTGGATTGAGTAAAGGTCTTACTAGTTGAAGTGGGAGACTGTGGTGTTTATTGCCCTCTCTTCTTACAACAATCATTGAGTCTATCTTCAGGGCCTTTGCACATGCTATTCTCTCTGTCCACTTACTTTCGTAAGGCCATATTTTATTCCTAGCATGTAAGCAAGCTCTGAAACACCAAGTTTCCTAATTAATTGTCTGTTTTCCCTTCTAGAGCAGGGCTTATATTCGAAGTGCTTATTATTTTCCTTTTGGTCGCTAACACTGAGTCTGGTATTTCACAGGCTTTTAACAACTTGGTGCCTGTAAAAGTTTAAGGTTCTCTCTCATCTAGAGAGTGACAGTTTGGAGACAGTGAGAGTCCTGGCTTGGCTGTGTGGCTGTGTAGCTGCTGCTTTGCTGGTATCCTCTGAGGGAGTGAGGAACAGAAAGTAGCCAGAACACCAGGGTTCTGACCTGGCAGCTGGTGGCAGGACCTTGGTTGACATTGCCTGCTGCTCACTCACACCTACCATCTACTGTTTCTATCTTCTCTCCTAGGCACAGGTGACCCCTGACAGTGACAAGAACAAGACATACTCTGTTGAATACCTGCCTAAGGTCACCGGGCTTCACAAGGTAAGATGAGGTGTCCTGGCTCCTGGCCATGTCTTGGATGTTCCTGGGACTTGTTCAGAGAAACATAGAAGAAAGAGATCTTGGGAAGAAGAATGAATAGTCTTGGGGGGAGTGGTTGTGGTCCCAGAGAGAAAACCCCAGATGGGTCTCTCACGTGCTAGAAAAATGCTCTACTACTGAGCTACCCTTGTGTTTTTGTTTTTGTTTTTTTGGCTAATCCTAGGGCTTGAACTCAGGGCCTGGGCACTATCCCTGCGCTCTTCAGCTCAAGGTGAGCTCTCTACTGCTTGAGCCATAGCACCACTTCCAGTTTTCTGTTGGTTTATTGGAGATAAGAGTCTCATGGACTTTCCTACCCGGGCTGGCTTTGAACCACAATCCTCAGATCTCAGCCTCCTGAGTAGCTAGGATTACAGGTGTGAGCCACTGGTGCCTGGCTCCCCTTGTGGTTTTTTAAAATTAATTTCTGATGCTCTTTGAGAAAGTTTGAAATCCTGGTAAATCAAGCTCTAGACATGAGCTAACCCATATTCACTGCTTAAATTCCAATGGGAACTTATTTGTAATATTATTCTATTTGTTTTATTTATGCCAGTCGTGGGGCTTGAACTCAGTGCCTGGGCATTTCCTCTTAGCTTTTATGTTTAAGGCTGGCACTTAGCACTTAAACACACCTCTATTTCTGGCTTAACCATTGTAGAACCACAATCCTTAGATCTCAGCCTCCTGAGTAGCTAACATGAAAAGCGTGAGCCACTGGTGCCTTGCTCATTTGATTTTTCTAACTTTGTGTGAGCACCCAGCATTATAACTACAAGGCCGGGGTGTCGCTTGCTGCCAAGACTAAGCTGTGGTCTCTGTCTTCCTGCTTCTTTACGTCTTTCCCTGTGAGGTGGCCTGCAGGGCTCAGCAGCCTGAAGCCTAAGGACACAGGAGCCTGGCTGACTCTAATGGAGGGAAACAGTTCCCCTAGCATGTAGGGACATGGCAGTGATCTAAGCCTCAGCCCCTTGATGTCTATATCATGTGTTTGAGATGGTGTCCAGGCAGGAGTGAAGAGTACCGAGGCCTGCAGGAGAGGATGATCCTGGACGCCTCTCACTAGAAGAGTCCTGTCTAGCACAGAAAGGCTATATCATGCTCAGACACACAGGCAGGCAGACAGACAGACTCACTCTGTTTACTACCTCAGGCTCTTATAAATTCACCTGGAACTCTGGCCTCAGCTGCTTCTTACATTCTTGGAACACCATGAATTTGGAAGAAGTATTTGTGACATAATGAATTCATTCCTGCCAATATAGGTTCACATGAATCCCAACACAGTTCTCTTGAGAAATTCCAGGGTGAGAACTGGGATTCAAGTTTTAGACAGAAATCGGTGTAATTTTGTCTCAAACCCATTTTTGTCCCTGGGAAAGCACTTTGTGCTTGAACTCTTGGGCCTGTGCATTTTAATATGGACCTCATGTCTGGAAGCTCAAGGACAAGTGGTTACACATTTCCTTCTAGAAAAGCTCAGTGTACCTGACATGGGCAGTTAGTTTGCTCGAGGTCTGATGACATCCCATGCATAGCCATATAGCAATCTGAGTTGATTTCAGGGCATCTGGTTGCAGCCCCTTGGACCATCCTGAGACGTGTGGAAAAGAATATCGTCAAACATGGGACTTGCTAATAGTCTTGCTAGGCTTATAGAGGATATCACATCTCTCCTATCTGTCACCTGCAGGTCATAGTGCTCTTTGCAGGACAGCACATCTCCAAGAGCCCATTTGAAGTGAATGTTGACAAGGCCCAGGGAGACGCCAGTAAAGTCATTGCAAAAGGCCCAGGCTTGGAAGTTGCAGGGAATATCGCCAATAAACCCACCTACTTTGACATCTACACAGCCGGTAATGCACCTTCCTTCTTGGCCTGAGCTCTTTAGGAACTTGAAGGTTTGTCTGAGAGGGGCTCTTGAGCTAATAGAACACTTGTTCTGTCTCAGGAGCTGGTGTGGGTGACATCGCTGTAGAGGTTGAAGATCCCCAAGGCAAGAACACTGTGGAGGTGCTCATGGAAGACAAAGGCAACCAGGTGTATCGGTGTGTGTACAAACCAATGCAGCCTGGCCCCCACGTGATCAACGTTTCCTTTGCTGGGGACAATATTCCCAAGAGTCCTTTTATTGTGCAGGTTGGAGAAGGTGAGTAGTGCCAGGTGGCGAAGTGCATCTACTTCTGGAGTGGAGACTCACTGTGTGATTGGGCACTGGGGCCATGAACATGGTCAAGGCCCAATACCTTGCTTGCTCCTATCCCCTTCTTGCTACTACCCCTGGAGGAGGAAGTGATCTACTTTGTTCTCAAGATAGTGACAGTAATAATTTGCTGTGCTTTGTCAGTGTTCCTCATTGTGACAAAATTCCTGAGGTAATCAGATTAATAGAAGAAAAGGTGTTTGTGTCTCATAGTTTCAGAGGTTTCACACTTTATGATCTGTTGGTTCCATTTCCTGTGGGCCACACGTACTGTGGCAGCACAGTACATCTTGGTAGGAGTGTGTGCTGCTGGAGCTAATTGTATCATAACAGCTGGGAAGCAAACACCCAGGAAGGAGCTGGTATCACATACTCCCCCACAGGGCCATGCCCCCAGTGACCTAACTTATTTCTATTAGGCTCCACCTCTTAAAGGTTCTGACATCTTCTAGAAAGAAATGGAAGCCGGGGACCAGTGGCTTATGCCTATAATCCTGGCTACTCAGGAGGCTGAGATCTGAGGATCACAGTTCAAAGCCAGCTGGGGCAGGAAAGTCCATGAAACTTAATAAACCACCAGAAAACCAGAAGTGGCGCTGTGGCTCAAGTGGTAGAGTGCTAGCCTTTAGCTGAAGAGCTGAGGGACAGTGCCCAGGCCCAGAGTTCAAGCCCCACGACCAACCAAAAAAAAAAAAAAAAAAATGGAGACATGGGCTTCTGAGGGACATTTTAGATTAAATTTATAGCACAAGTAGGGCATTCCTAATCTAAACATTTGAATCCTACTGTCAGAATCCAAGAATTTTGGGCATTTGGCGTGATGTTCAAACTGTTTCAGACTCAGACATCGGACTTTCTTTTATTTTATTTGTGAACATACTGTACAGAGGGGTTACAATTACATGGGCAGGATAATGCGTACATTTCTTACCAAGCATTGCAGCCTCCTCCTTTGTTTACCCTTCACCTCCCTTCCCAGCCTCCCCCCTCCCCCCGCCCCCCCCAATCCTTCCCCCAGACATCGGACTTTCAAAGTAGGGATACTCAACCAGTAAAGTCCCTGCCAATGTTAAAAAGAAAATCTGAAATTTGAAACACTTTTGTCCCAGGCGCTTTGGATAAATGATAGTTGATCTATGTCTTCTATGGGCCACACAGGGTCCTAAGTGTGGTACCTTGTATTTAACTCATTTGATGGATCATATGCTTCCCATACACAAACAGGGAATTGTCATATGTGACCAAAGCTGGTTTTTACTGGCTTCTGGGCACTTAGACAGTATCCGTTTCACAGCCCATGTCCTGCAGATGCTATTCCTATTCACAGTATATAAGCCTTGGATAATATAAGGTATTGGTGCTGTGAAGCATCTGTAAGAGAGGAACTATAATCTCTGTTGACCATGTCCTTAACTATTCTGCCAAGGTCCCTCTATAACAAGGAACATGCACAGTATCTAATATTATACTTGCCTTCTGACTGTGTTCCTCTCTGTTTATTTGTTTTCCAACTATGCTGCCTTTTCTAACCAGTGCTTGCCTTTCCCTGTTCTATCCACATCTGCATCTGCAGACCTGGCTTCCTCTTCTGAATCCTGCCTCTGGGCCAGCCTGGATCCCAAAGCTGTTGGCTTCCTAGTTACGAGCTAGGCCAGAGGCTCTTGCTTGGTAAGGGCTGGTGGGGTGGGGTGTCTTTGCTGGTTCTTTGTGTTGTTTGTGACTAATAGCTGAGCCTGTGCTGTTGGTGACTTCAGGAATTCCTTTGCAGGTGCTTTTACAACTTGTGTGGGCAGACCCCAAATCTGCTCTCTAATTGCATTCAGACATATCTGAGATTTTGCAAGATGGCCAAGGATCTGGCAGTTTCTTCTAAACTCAAGTTCCACTGAGTGTTTATGTGAACTGAGTGGCTACCCTTTTGATGTTGAAACTATTGGCCAAGTTCAGCCTTTCCATGAGTGTGTGTGAGTGTGAGTGTGTGTGTGTGTGTGTGTGTGTGTGTGTGAAGACACATTCAAATGTTCTGAGGAAGTCCTGTCATCCTGTTATGACTTATTTCTGCTGAGACCAACTTTTTTCCCCTTGACAAAGAAAAAACAAGAAGAAACTCCTAACATATCTATAATAAGCAAAATTCTTTCATGTAAGAAAGAATTTGGAAAAGCTTTCCCATTTCTACTAGTGCTTCCCAATCTGTTCTCATTCACGAACTGCCTTTTGCATTTCTGGAATATTTATCCTGTCTAACCGTCATTTAGACTATGCAGTATTTAATTAGCATCCCTTTGCTCTTGATTTACTACTTCCTGCTTTAGTGATTTTATGTTAAAAGAAGCCTTAGCTCTGTGTTGCAATGGAAAACAAATGTCACTTGTCATAAAGTGCCACCTTAAACTTACATTCACTCAGGAACTACCTAAAGTTACCTCTAACTCCAAGGGTGAAGTGGTTGTTGCCACGAAGCCTGCAGAAAGCATTGTAGAGAAGAGGAGCCAGATAAAGAACTTCCTTCCTTTCCAGTAGCAGCAGAGCCTTGTCTTCTAGTGTATGTGATTGCTCCCAAGTGTCTAGGGAGCTGTCAAATATGCAGGATGACATTTGCACAGAAAAAGCTACCTCTTAAACAACTAGAAATTTTGCCCATTCCTTTTCCATTTCCAGCTGATGAGAAGGTTTCCTGTGCTGGACAAAATTGCTGGGGCACAAAGAAACAAAGATGTCTTTTCTTACCCTCTGAAGAGAGCTTTGTGTACCTCTCAAAAGCCACTTTAGTCCTTAACTTTTACACTTAAAACTGTGTGTGTATGTGTATGTGTATGTGTCTGAATGGGTGCTGGTACTGGGGACTTGAAACTCAAGGCCTGGGCACTGTCTTAGCTATTTGCTCAAGGCTAGCACTCTACCACTTGAGCTATAGCTCCCTTCCAGCTTATTAATGAGTCATTGGAGATAAGAGCTTCATGGACTTTCTTGCCTGGGCTGGCTTTGAACCTTGATCCTCAGCTCTCAGCCTCTTGAGTAGCTAGGATTACAGGTGTGATCATCAGTGCCTGACAAAAACTTTAGCTTTTTAAATGAGACACAGAAACGAAGTCAGGAGTGGCATTTACTGCTGATATCTGCTTTTTCAGCTTCCCAGATTCCAAGGGTCTTGACAGAGCCAGCACCACAAGCCTGATTTGCCTTGCTCCAGGGGTTGTGAATAGCTTGCTTTTGAGGCCCTTATTGTTTTGCTTGTTCACATGGATGGCAGCAATGTTTAGACCTTTAGCAATGGCTGAGTCCCAGGCTTGGAACCCACACAGCCATTTTCAAGCACTGCATTTTCCAAGTAGACTTAAGGCAGTTTGGTCTCACCAATTACTGGGCCCTTGAGTATGGCAGTCAGGTTTGAATAGCATCCAGCCATTGGCCTTCCTCCCCCACACAAATAAAAGGATACATGCCAGTACCAGGGGCAGTGTGGATTTGCTTTGCTCTCCTGGTCTCATTGCCAAAGTAATTTTTGCCTAGCTCTTCTGCGGTGTGGCTGGACAAAGTTATGTTGTATCGGTCTTTACTAGCTTCTGTGTTTCCCCAAGTTGGACCCCTGGACTCTCTGCATCCTCTCTGTAAAACAAACATTCTCCTGGTGGGTAGCTTTAAGTTACCTTTCCTTTCTTATCACTGGGTAAAGAATGAAAGGCTGAACTGATGTTAAAACTCTGCTTGCAGCTTGCAGTCCAAATGCCTGCCGGGCCAGTGGCAGAGGCCTGCAGCCCAAAGGCATTCGTATCCGGGAGACTGCGGACTTCAAGGTGGACACCAAAGCTGCTGGAAGTGGGGAGATCGGCGTCACTGTGAAGGGTCCTAGTAAGTGATCTTTTCTTTCCCCCTCTCATGTGATTTCTGTGAACTTTTCAGCCACAACATGGATTTCACCCCATGGTCAGTCATAATTCATTTATCCCAGAGAGCTATGAGTAAGAGTTGAGGTTGTCTGGGAACAGTGGTTGATTAGTAATGCCTGCCTTGGATGTGAGTGAGAACAATGGTGGCTTGATATCCTTTCATTATATGAAGGCCTCTGGGAGTAGAAGGGCAATGAATGATGTAGAGGAGTTGGGTAAAATGCTGCTGTTAGAAGTGGCCCCCAAACTGAAGCGGCCATTTTGTTACTTGAGGAGATGTAGGCCCAGAGCAGAAGATTCTTGCCCCAACGTCAGAGAGCCTGCAGCCTTCTGGGCTGGGATTCATTCTATGATCAGCTTGTAGGAGAGTCAAATTCCCAAAGATGAGGTTTTCTTTTTAGGTAAATGCCATTTATGGGGAGTGGAGATGACATCTAGCAATTCTTCCCTCCCTCCCTCCCTCCCTCCCTCCCTCCCTCCCTCCCTCCTTTCCTTAGGCTTCCTCCCCCCCTTTTTTTCCCCTGCTGAAGTCTGGTCACACAGCTCTGCTTGGAGCTTGGTTAATTGGAGGTAAGAGTCTTATGGACTTTACTGCCCAGGCCGACTTTGAACCTCTATCCCCAGATCTCAGTCTTATGAGTAGAGTTACAAGCAGGAGCCACTGGCTCCTGGCTTCAGTAGCCCATTCTTGTGGACATGGGGACAAGCATCTTTTCTATCCTCAGATTTTCCTCTAGAGCAAAGAAGCCATTCATTGTTGCTAGTTTGCAGAAGTAGCAGCTTTTGGTAGTTTTAGTTCCATGGTTGTTTGCACAGTGTCAGGGCAGCTCTCGCCTTTTGTATTGCCATCAGATATGGATGGGATGGTTCTGAGCTCTGGAAAACAATGATTTGGTCTCAGAACAAGCTTTGGGACACACCCAGAGGAAAACCACCAAGGTTCTAGACTGCCCAGACCTGGAGTCAAGTCTCTTTAGGGCTGCCCTTGCACCTGGCTTGTTGCAACAAGAGCCAAGGAGGCATATTTTCCTGACCTTGGAGACTTGCTTGACTCAACAGCTTTCCTGGCCAAACCTCAGGGCTTGACATAAAACAAGTTCCTGCCTGATGGCTGGGTCTGAAGCTTGTGATATAGCCACGAAAAACCGCCTTCTCATAGATAGCACACAGAGCTTTCTTGCTTTTGTTATCGAGCCTTACTTAGCAGACACTTGTGCCAAAATACTCACAAAGCTTTCTTCCTTCCCTCTTTCCCTCCTGAGTTTTAGGGGCTGAGGAGGATGGGCTACAATTGTTAGGAAATCGTGAGATGTGATTAGATTTATCTTTAGGCAGCTGCTCCAAGACTTCTCATAGCCAAGACTGTCTCTTAAAGCCATTTCTCACGCTTTGAAGCAGTGCTAGGTCTGCTTCTTAGCTTTGGAGTCTTCTCACCTTACTAGCTTTGGGCAGGTCCAATAGTCTGAGGTAGCCTCTGTTAGTTTTCCTCTGTGGATTTATGTTGTGGGCCTCATTGCCTTTCTGTTGTTGCGTTCCTGGTTTTTGTATACCTAGGATTTTGGTAGAAACATTGTCTGTTTCCTTCTCACAGAAGGCCTGGAGGAGCTGGTGAAGCAGAAAGGCTTTCTGGATGGGGTCTACGCATTTGAATATTACCCGAGTACCCCAGGCAAATACAGCATTGCTGTCACATGGGGAGGACACCACATTCCCAAGAGGTGAGTATATTGGGCTAGGAATGGGGCTTCTCTGGAGGCGTGGCCTCACTGGCTGCTGGAACTGCTTTGTTGAAAGCTTTGCTTTTTTTTTTTTGCTTTTTCAGAGCAGCACATAGCTATTTGGCCTGTTCTCAAAAGCAGCAGTAAGTTGCTGTGGTTTCAGCTGCCTTCCTTTAAATCAAATGCTGGTGGTTTGGGCCTGGTAGGAGGCAAGAGCAGCCAGAAGGAGCTAATAGAGAGCAAATGGACTGTATGTCTGTCCACCCTTCTATAAATGCAGGCTCTCCTTTTCAATGAAAGCCTCTGTTCAGAAAAGCACCAATCTGCTATGCTTTGCATTAAGCCCATCTACATAAAGCCCTGTCAGGGACCAAGGGGCACTGCTGGCAGCTTTCCCTGTGGCCTTAGAGATGAGTCCTCTCTACACTCATGTGTTTCTAGCCTCTGAGGCAACTTTACACTCTGAATGCATTTATAAATACGTTTGCCTTGAGAAATAGTTGGGCATTGTTAATTGTTCCCACCTATCCATTCTATGACAAGTACGTATCAAAACTATAGACAGTTCCAGATGCTCTATATGCAGTTTTTCCCCAGACACGCACACCCATGAGAAAGTTTACTTGATAAAATAGGCACAGTAACAACTTCACAACAATAATAACAGAACTGAGCAATGATCACACAGCATGCTGTAATAAAAGGTAGATGAATGCAGAACTTCTGAAGGTACCTTATTGTGCTGTTCTTGCCTTGGGAGATGAGATGTGCTCTGGTTGGCCTGTGTGGCGGGGTGAGGTGAGAATTGCGGTATAGGCATCATGATGAATTTCTGGGCTATCTTGAGCTTCTGTAGATATATATTTTGGATCAGGTGTGACTCAATGTCACTGAAACTTTAGGAAGCAAAACTGAGCACAAGGAGTTACTATATAAGGTTCTCAGTATCCAAGCACACATACTTTAAATCTCCCAGTATCAAAATTAAAAACACATTTGTTCACATAGGAGGTAAAACCTATTCAAACAAGTTTTGGGGTTAGAGCATAGATAGGCATAGAGAAGTATGGGCTTTCTTACCTCTAGGGTTCACTGTCCAGAGGGCTGTGTTGGATGGAAGGTCACTGACGAGGGCCTTGAGTGTCCGCCCAGTGCCCTGCTGCTCCTGAGACAGCCACACTGCATGATATTGTTGACATAACAATGGCTTCAGAAGGAAGGAGGAAATGAGGAGGAAAGGCTTGCCCAGAGCGGGCGATCCCCACTGCAAGGATCAGGCAGGTAGAATGAATGTATGTTAATCGTTTCCAACTGCAGTTACCCCCATCTTTGCTCTTCGTTGAGGCTTCTTCTGTTCCCTTCTTTCTAGCCCCTTTGAAGTTCAAGTTGGCCCTGAAGCAGGCATGCAGAAAGTTCGAGCTTGGGGACCTGGTCTCCATGGCGGGGTTGTTGGACGCTCAGCAGACTTTGTGGTGGAGTCTATTGGCTCTGAAGTGGGATCTCTAGGTAAGTGGGGGCAACTGACCAGCAGCTTCTTGAGGGCTGAGGGTGGTGATCTGGGTCTGGAGACTGGCTGGGTGTTAGGGCCTTACCCAGCCTCACTACTGTTAGCTTCTTGGCCTCCTGACCACCCAAGACCTTTTCTAGGTGCTGCTGTTGAATTGTAGTTCCCATTTTCCTCCTCCTATCTTGCCCACAGCCTCTGTCTCTAGCAGCCATTAATCTACCAGTGAGGTTACATGCCTTTTGTTATGCCTAAGCAGTACTTAGAACACTTAGGTGGGCACTTAGTAGGGACTAAGACATTTAATGTTAGTTTCAAAGAATGAATTTTGCAGAAATTTATCATTTGGGAAGTAGATTTTCTTGGAAGCATAACTGAATATATTTCAGATATACCTCTGATAGCTTCCTTCCTTCCTTCCTTCCTCCCCTCCTCCTTTCTTTCCTCCCTCATTCACTCCCTCTTGCCACCTTCTCTCTCTCAAAATCTATGCTAGGTAGCTCAGTCTAAAGACAGTGCAGCCTGGAACTCATGGTCTCATGATGTTCCTATCACATCATCCTCCCAAGTACTGGCATAACAGGCATGTGGCACCAAACTTTGCCTATACAGGGTCAGATAGCAGATGTTTTCAGAGACCATCTGGTCTCTGTCACAATTATGTAACTCTATTGTCAGGTGGAAACAGCCATTAAAGAATAGGTACACAACGGAGTGGCCATAGTCCCGTAAAACTTTATTTACACAATTAGGCAGGGAGCCAGATTTAGCCTTTAATTTTTTCTACTAGAAATATTAGTCATCTTGGTATATCTTCCAGGTCAAAGGTAGTATTTTATAGCCTTCCCAGGTTTTTGCACGTACATGCATGTACAAATGTTAATTTGCTACATATACCGTGGGGGAAGTATTCATATCTTTATGCATCCATTTTCTGAGGTTTTGTGGAATTCCATTGTGTGACAGTGTCTATTCTTTGGCTCTCCAAGGTTTTGATATATGAACCACATTGAGTGTGTATCCTCAGTTCTTTAGGTAAAAGGAGTTGAGTAGGGGAATGGGGATGACAGGGTTTGGATATTGGCTTAAGATTTTTGACACATATTGACAAACAGCTGAGAGATTTGCTCATCTATCTCTATCTCTTCTTGCTTCTTCTTAGCTAATATAAAATCCGAAAGTATCTAACCCTTCTACTTCTTGTGAAGACTTAGCACATTTCAATCTTGTGGCCAGCATTTGGCTCCTAGGAGGCTGAAGGCACAAATTGGTGGCAATGTGGAGTAGATGCTTCCCACCATTATAACCACAGAGGCCCTTCTACTGTCACCCAGGTTTTGCCATTGAAGGCCCTTCCCAGGCAAAGATCGAATACGATGACCAGAATGATGGATCATGTGATGTCAAGTACTGGCCCAAGGAGCCGGGAGAATATGCCGTTCACATCATGTGTGATGATGAAGACATTAAGGACAGCCCATTTATGGCCTTCATCCACCCTGCCTCAGGAGACTACAACCCAGATCTGGTGAGCAACTTGTCCTGTTTCTGTCACCTCTCTCCCCCCCCCGCCCCCCCCCCTCCCCCGTCTTCATCTCCATGCCTGAAGACACAACCAATCATGTTGGGAATGACAGAAAGGAACTGTCTGGGTTTTTGAAAGGAATTGGGCCTGAATTTGAGTCTTGTTAGTATTCTTAGTACTTTTATAATGTTGGCTAAGTCATGCTCCTCTCTGCCATTTGGTCTTTTCCTCTATAAAATGGTGTGTGTGTGTGTGTGTGTGTGTGTGTGTGTGCGTGCGTGCATGTGTGTGTGTGTGTGTGATAATATCTACTTCTTACAGCTTCCGGGACAATCCAAGGTCAGGTTCTTTAGTACAGTGCACAGTCTGTGTAGGGGCTCCAGAATCATTGTTTCCTTACAGATTTCAGTCTTGCTACTTTCTGGAGTATTTCAAAATATTCCATAGATAAAAATGATTTCCTCCAGTCTTGCTTCTCTTAAGTTGGAGCAGTGTTTCCAAGGGCTTCTTTCCAAGTCCTTATTAGCAAGCTGACAGACAGCAGGTGAATCCTGCACCCATGTTTACTTCTGTTGGCCCACTTGGGCAGCTGGCTGGCATCAGTTCACACTGGTAGTGACGCTTCTTTGGCCTCTGCTGCTCATTTGCTTCTTGGGGACTGCAAACATTTGGAATGATGTCTGTGGTAAAGGTTATGTGTATTGAAACTGGGCATGGCTGGAGCTCCCTGACCCAGTTACTAGAAGTTCTTTCTATTAATTCAGAGTAAGGCAGGGAGCTTGGGTTGGTTTGGGCCAGGTTTTATAGCTTTTCTTCTTCATGTGAAATTAGCAATACTATTATTTTAAAGTTACAGCCTGCTTTTGCATTTCACTTCCCATAACCATCTTATTACATGTACACCATAAAATTAAATAGGAGGCATTTTGTCATGCCTGTCGCTGCCGGTGCCCGCCTCCCTGCCTCATTGCTTGGTGATCAGGCTTAGTGGGCTGGTCTCAGAAAGACAGTCATTATTAGAAAGACAGTCCTTTTTGGCCTTTTGTTCCAGGTTCAAGCATATGGACCAGGTTTGGAGAAGACTGGGTGCATCGTCAATAACCTAGCTGAGTTCACTGTGGACCCTAAAGATGCTGGAAAAGCCCCCTTAAAGATATTTGCTCAGGTAAGTTTCTGGGGACCACCCAAGCACATAACTGGCAGACTGTACCTGTAATAGCAGCACAATGCTCAGTGCATCTTTTTTTTTATTTTCCTTTTTTTCTTGAACTCAGGGCCTAGGCACTGTCCCTGAGCTTGTTTTGCTCAAGGCTAGTACTTTACCACTTGAGCCACAGTGTTACTTCTGGCCTTTTCTGTTTATGCGTTCATGCATGCTGGGTGAGCACTCTACCACTAAGCCACATTCCCAGTCCTCAGTGCATCTTGACTTTGTTTTTGTTTGTTCATGCATTGGGAATAATAATATGTCAGGGGTTTTATGAGGATTAAAAAGGTGTTTTTCATGATCTTTGTAATTTGTATACTGTGGAAAGAAGGCTGGTTCTTTCACATTACCCTGTAAGCTCTTTCTTTGGGTTTTGTATCTACTTTGGCTCTGATGGGAAGTTTGTAAACAAATTTCAGGATCCATTTATCTGTTTTAATTGAAACTAGCAAAAGGACTTAGATGCAGGAATTGAAATTAAGAAGCCAGTATAGTAGTGACTCATGCCTGTAGTCCTAGATACTCAGGAGGCTGAGATATGAACATCACCTTTTAAAACCAACCCTAGCAGGAAGGTCCATGAGATTCTTATCTGCAATTAACCACCAAAATGCCAATAGTGGAGCTGTGGCTCAGGTGACAGAACACTAGCATTGAGCAAAAAACTCAGGGATAGTGCTCAGACCAGGTCAAGTTGAAACCCCAGAACCAGCACATTGAGTAGATACTGCTTTTTTTGTAGGGTGAGTGGGAGGGAAGTACTCTTAATAGTTTAAAAACAAATAAATGTAGCAAGGGATAGCTGTATCCATAGTCCCAGTACTTGGGAGGTTGAGTTATGAGGATCAGTCAAGCCAGGAGCTTAAGGCTAATCTTGGCAATATAATGAACATATATTTTGTTATTTGCTATTGTATTGTGAGCATCTGACATATATGTCATGGTTGCTCCTTGAAGTTTTACCTTGGCTGTGCTGGAAGGCTATGCTGGCTCTGTTATAGGAGATAAGCCTGAGACCATCTCTGTTCCTAGCTCTGGCTCTTTTGCAGGATGGAGAAGGCCAACCTATCGATATCCAGATGAAAAGCCGGATGGATGGCACATATGTCTGCTCATACATGCCAGTGAAGGCCATCAAGCACACCATTGCTGTGGTCTGGGGAGGTGTGAACATCCCACACAGCCCCTACAGGGTAAGTTGTGAGGCAAATCCTGGTTATAGAAAAAAGCCCACTTGTGCTCCAGGCTTGAGCTCTGTGGCTTATATGTAGAACAGACCCATCTTCCTCGGGGCACTGAAAGATGGGATGGCCTGATTCCTTCTCCAAAGGAATCAATGTGTTGTTTGGTGGGATGGATGCTCAAACTTTCTTCGTGGTTTTTCTAGGTCAACATTGGGCAGGGTAGCCATCCCCAGAAGGTCAAAGTGTTCGGGCCAGGTGTGGAGAGAAGTGGTCTGAAGGCAAATGAGCCCACTCACTTCACAGTGGACTGCACAGAGGCTGGGGAAGGTAAGAGCAGACTGCACCCACTACAGTGGTGATTGCTCCTTAGGGAAGAAAGTTCTTTCCATAAGGCTTGGAGGGCAATGAACATTAACCTGGAAAGTAGTCCGTCTGCATAGGCAGTTACTCACCGAATGCAATCATGTTTTGGTTTTTGGTAGTATCTGCAAATATCTTCACCCCTTTTCCAAAATCAGCTTCCCTTTCTTAGGTTTCTTACTGGAAACTTCTCTGTTGCTCTTTGGGGGTGTTAGCCCAAGCTGGAAGTGATTGCCTAGGACATGCTGTTTCTTGCTAACTAGTACTAATAAGCCAGTCTGTTCCAGGTGATGTCAGTGTTGGCATTAAGTGTGATGCCCGGGTGTTAAGTGACGATGAGGAAGATGTGGATTTTGATATTATTCACAATGCCAACGACACGTTTACAGTCAAATATGTGCCTCCTGCTGCTGGGCGATACACCATCAAAGTTCTCTTTGCCTCACAGGTGTGCATTGGGCCTGGGGTGGACTGAGGGGAATGGGCTAGACCACCTGGGTGTTTATTTCCTGAGAACTCCCTTTTTCCCCTGCTTTTTTTGTGCCAGTCCTCAATTCTAGTCTTACTCTACCACTTGAGCCACAGCTCCATTTCTGGCTTTTTTAATGGTGAATTGGAGGTAAAAGTCTCACAGACTTTCCTGCCTGGGCTGGCTTTGAACTGTGATCCTCAGATCTCAGCCTCTTGAGGAGCTAAGATTATACGGGTCGGCACCTGACCTAGCTTAATCCTTTTTATCTCTGATTCCTTAACTAAAAAGGAAATAAAAATGCCCAGAAGTAAACAGTACATTCAGTGGTTAAAAGCAGGACTCTGGAAAGAGCCTGACTTGTAAACATTTATCAAGCTTCTGATTGAACCATTGTCCTATTGGAAGCAATTACTCTGGCCTCTGCCCTTAGATTTTTTTTTTTAGGGAGAGGCTTTTTGAAGTATCAGGTATGTGCTAGTGATGATAAAGTGCCACAAATCCAGATGATTAGAATTAACTTGACGTAAAATAGGAAATGAAAGAGAACATTCCATGCCTAATGCTAATGGCCTTCAATTTGACGTCATCTATTTAATCTCTCATGCCTTTATTCTGACTGTCTGCAGCATTCTTCTCCAAGAATTATGGTCATTCTGATTCTGATTACTTCCTTGTAGTCCCAATACCGAAGCTCTCAGCTGTCTCTGTATGGACATTTCCTTCCCCTGACTCCCCATACATTGTTTCAGATTCTGGCTTTATCCTGGGTAGTACTTTTCTCATATTCAGTACCCAACATTTTGACTCTCACGATCTTTAGATTATGAGTGAGTGGCCCACAGAGTCTGTTCCTGATACTAAGCATGTGCAGAATCACCTTCTTTCACCTGACAAAGTAGATATTGTACAAAGGTTCACCCCTGGTGTTTGGACAGAAAGCTAAAGCTCTAGCAGTTGCTCAGGGGCTTTTCCTTCTGAGACAGTGTCTTTGCTACAGGAAATCCCCGCCAGTCCTTTCAGAGTCAAAGTGGATCCTTCTCACGATGCCAACAAAGTGAAGGCTGAAGGCCCAGGGCTCAGCAAAGCAGGTAAGAGGATGGGGTGAAGCTGTCTGTGGTCAAGGGTGTTGGTCTAGATCCAGAGGGACTGATCTCCACTCAGAACTCTGATGTAGCAGCATTGTGCCTGCCTGAGAGGGGAACTGCCCATGTCCCTGGCTGTCTTTGTTATGGGTGATGAGTAGGTTATGGGTGATGTTGGACCTGTCAGACTGGTTCTAAAAGTGAAAGCTGCCCAGCTAACCCCGCCTCCCCACTTCACTATGTGTTCTTCCAGGTGTGGAAAATGGGAAACCCACTCACTTCACTGTCTACACCAAGGGCGCTGGGAAAGCCCCACTCAACGTGCAGTTCAGTAGCCCCATTCCTGGTGAAGCAGTGAAGGACTTGGACATCATTGATAATTACGACTATTCCCACACCGTTAAATACACACCCACCCAGCAGGTAGGATCCATCTCATCCCCCTGCTTTGCTGGACAGGCCCCTGTGTAGAAGTACACAGCGCCAGGACCCCAGGAGTGTGAGCGGCGCGTGTAGGGTGGGCCACTGTAGGGATGACTCTTTAGACCTCTCATTCTAAGTCTCTCTGGGACCACCCAAAGCATGGTGGATGCTATGGGAATAGCCTTTGGGAATTCCAAAGGACAAACATCTCTCAGGTTTTATCAGAGAAGTCTTAGATGCTTGATAAATTAGGGCCTAACAGTTCTACCTTTCTCTCACACACATAGGTTTGTGTTCTTTCTCTCTCTCTCTCTCTCTCTCTCTCTCTCTCACACACACACACACACACACACACACACACACACCTTTGCCTGAGGCCTCTGTCTGTCATTAATTACTCACAGAGCCCTGCCACATTTGCTCCCCCTACTCCTTGCAGCCTTTTAGCCTACTTCTACACCTTTACAAGGTGTTTTACTGAGGTCTTTTCTCAAAGAGCCTGTTCAGCTTTTAGTCCCTAAGGGCTGCAGTGCTATTTAGGGTCACAAATTGTTCCCTTTTATAAAACCGTAGGAATTCTTAGGGGACTTTCTATCTAAGCTGATTTATTTTGTTATGATATGCCGCAAGGGCCTTAAAAAAAAAACTATCCATCTAAACAAGTTCATGTCTGTGTGTTTAACTTTTTGAAATTTATTATTTTTGTATTGGAGCAAACTCCAGAGAACATTTTCCAGCTTGGGCCTGCTGAAGTGCACACTTCAGCGACATTAAATACATTTTCCTGTCGTGCAAACATGACCCCCCATCTACCTCTCCACAGCTCTTTATACCCTGCACAACTGAAATTCTGTATCCATTATGTTCCTTTAAGAGTTTGTTTTGCTTCATGTTCACACCTCCGGAGTCTGGACAGCAGACATCCTGGCAGGAAAGTCTGGATTTTAATACCCTTGCCTAGTGTGGTAAACTGTTGTTCTAAGTCTCTGAGATTCCTTCGTTTTGGAAGAAGGAGTCCCCTGTGTGGGAAATGGCATTTGCAGGACCGGAAGTGCCTGCTGGCTGCAGAAACACTGTTCAAGCATCACCCCACCCAGGCCCACTCGGCATGGAGCCAGCAGGAGTGAGAAGGAACAAGGGGTACAGTGAGCATGTGTGGCTACGCCTGCTGCTTGAGAAGGGGGCACTATACACTCTTTGAGAACTTCCCTGGCAGTGATCAAGTTGTGTTTTTAAATTTTATTGTGCCAGCAGTGGGGCTTAAACTCAAGGTCTTGTGTACTTACTTGGTTTCTTTGCTCAAGGCTGGCACTCTACCACTTGAGCCACAACTCCATTTCCAAAAAAGATTTTCTTTTCTTTTTTTTAGGTAGTGCTGGAGTTTGAGCTCAGAGCCTTGCATTTGTTAGACAAGCTTTTTACTGCTTGAACCACATTTCCAACCTTCTTGTTCTTAAAAATTCTAATGAAGGGACTGTGCACTGTTGACTCACACCTGTAATCCTAGTTATTCGGGAGGCTAAGGTCTGAGGATCAAGGTTTGAAGCCAGCCCCAGCAAACAAATCCAAGAGATTCTTATCCCCAATTAACCAGCAAATTACCTGAAGTAGAGGTGTGACTCAAGTGATATAATACCAGCATTAGGCAAAAAAAAATCTAGGCAAGAGTGTTGTCAGGCCCTAAGTTCAAACCGAGTACTGTACCACACACATAAATCCTAATGAACATGGTAGTATGTGCCTGCAATCTCAGCTATGTGGGAAGCAGAGGTAAAGAGTATCTTGGTCACAGCCCTGGTTGTTGGCAAAGCATAGGTAATTATTTCCCCACTGACGCTTCTGAGGGCTGTTTGGGAGGTTTGCACCAGGAGTGATGGCGAGATTCCTTACTTGAATCACCTCAAGGTCAAGTTTGTCTAGCTCTGTGATAGCAGCAGGTTTGAGAGCCCTTGGCAAACTCAGTAATCTCTTTGGACTATTTATTCACCGACACTGAAGTGATATGTCCTAGGAACCTGGTGGAATCTTGGTGTTAATTGCTGCCTTTCATGTAAATGTTTTGTACAGTGTCTCTGGGGTCTTTTTTTGTTGTTTGTTGTTTAGAGCAAGGCTTACGGTTTCACTATTTGGGCTGCTTGTAATTGTTCAATTTGTGTGTGTGTGTGTGTGTGTGTACGCGCGCACGCGTGCGCGCACATTCAATGCTAGCAGTCTTATCACTTGAGCCATAGTTCCACTTCTGGCTTTTTAGTAGCTAATTGGAGATAAGAATCTTACAGACTTTTCTTACTCAGACTGATGTCAAACTGTGATACTTAGATCTTAGCCTCCCAAGTAGCTACTATTACAGGGGTGAGCCACCAGCACTGGGCTAATTCTGCATATTTCTCTTTGGCAAAGAAAACAGATGGTGTCTCTTCCTGGAGGGTGAGCTCCCCAAGGGTGTGATATCATGTACTGCCTGTATCTTCCCATCCTCAGCCCCAAGCGCCAGACCTGGAGCCACAGGTGTTACCTGTGGATTAGCAGCTGAATGAGTGAATGGCTTCTCTCTTTGATCCACAAGCAAGAATGGCATGTTCTCATTCTCCTCTGAACTTTCATTCTGAGGAGTGGCTGAAACCTCATGGTGTGCTCTGGATAAGGGGCCTGGCCAATCAGAAAGTTGTCCTTACCCAGGGGAGGGGGCACACTTTGAGCCAGTGACCTCAAAGCGAGACATGGTGATTATTGGAACTGTAAGAAGGCAGCTGCTTGGTGTGTCTGTGTGGGGGTGGGGGTGGGGGTGGGGTGGGGCAGGTTAGGTACATGCTGGCCGGGCCAATGAGAAACTATATAGCCTGTCTGCTGAGGAAGTCAGGACTCAGATTCTTAACTCTGGCTGTTCAATGCTTGGGGGGCTACTGTAGGATCCCTGAGTGACAGATTGCAAGCCTTCCCTGAGTGGTCAGTGTTATATACCATGATGCACTTGTTAGTCCAGATAGAGTGATCAGAGCTCTTTCTGCCTTAGAGGAGTGGATGTGGTAGGGTTGGGGCTTAACAACCCTCTCAGAGCTGGCATTTTACAAAATGTAAAGCTATGTTTAATTAATTATTTAGTGGCAGTTCTGGGTCTTGGACTCAGGGCCCAGGGCTCTGTCCCTGAGCTTCTTTCGCTCAAAGCTAGTGCTCTGCCACTTGAGCCACAGTTCCCACGACTTCCAGCCTTTTCTGGGTAGTTTATTGCAGATAAAAGTCTCACAGAGTTTCCTGCCTGGGCTGGCTTTGAACTGAGATCCTCAGATCGCTCAGCCTTTTGAGTAGCTAGGATTATAGATGTGAGCCACCAGCACCCGGCCACATTAGTTTTTTAAATGGTAACTTTTTGTTCCAGGACTTTGCCTTCTTTGCCTTTGGTATAGCCTCAAGTGGCTTAAGTTTCTTACTCAAAGTTCCCATCTGCCCAGCAGTTTGAGAAACTGGTGTCTGTAGCCCCATGATCTCCTCTTTAGGATTAACTGGGAAATCAGCCCCTCCATCTGCTCTGTGGCACCTTCAGGAACCCCCTGGAGCTTGTGGAGCCTCTCAGGGTAGCAATAAGATTGCGGCTGCACTCCAGGGGGAGGTGGGGGGAGGGACTCTGGAGCAGAGGAGCCCATCTTCTGAGCTTCAAGGTCATGCTCATGTATTTTGGGTGTAAGACCAGGCTTCAATAGTGCATGGGACAGTTATCATGGTCATGTAACCTGCCCGATCTTGGTGAAATGCACAGGTACTCACAGCCCTCATGACCTAGATGGGGTTGGGGGGGCAGGGGAGCTCAATCCATTCCTTATCTGAGCCTCCCAGGAAACTGGAAATACTGTAGGTATTAGAGGCTAAATCTTCTAAGATTCTTTTCCTCCTCCTGGTGTGGTTTTCTAACATAGTTCATTTTCCTTCTGAGTTTTTTTTGTTTTGCTTTTGTGTCTGGTAATTAGAGTATACTTTTCTTGTATGGAATGGGCGGGCTTAACTGGAAGAGGACTTTCCCTTTTCTCCTTAGCACTCCAGAGAAATGGCCAGAAGTCTTATGGGGGTGGGAAGTGGTATTTCCAGGACCCCTGGTTGGATTTGAGCCTCCCTTGATGGAGGCTGTGGGCAAATGCAGCTGGGGAAGAACCAGAGTGTCAGAAAGGTAATGTGGCTGAAGTAATAAGTCAGTCCTCCCTTAGGCATTCCAAGGGGACAGTTCTTGTCCCTTGGCCTGCACCCAGCCCTGTTGAATTTGACCCATGCACATTTTAGCATGAAATGTTATACCCTTGAGGCAGGGGGCCAGTTGGTTTCATGTGTGGTGTTAAAGAAAAACCTGGAAAAATCAGTCATTCATTGATGCAACTAGCCCTCCCTTCCCCACTTTCCTTGGCTCTGTTCCCCTTTATTACAAAAAGAATGTGAGAAAATATACATAAGCCAAAAGCTACACCCTCTTAACACTAGATTAGTGACAGCTTTCAGCAGAGCCTGCACACCAGCTGAGCCTGTGGAATTCTCAGAGAATCTTGTCTTCAACTTTCTTCTCCTTTGTGTGCTGCAGCTGCCAGTGTGTGTGTAGGGGGGTGTTGGGAGTGCCCTGGAGGCTTCAGTTCAATGCCTGGATACTGTCCTTGAGTTTTTGTGCTCAAGGCTAATCTATCACTTGAGCCACAGCTCCACTCCCAGCTTTTTTGGTAGTTAATTGGGCCTAAGAGTCTAGTCTCATGGACTTTTCTGCCCAGGTAGCTTTGAACCGTGATCCTCATATCTCAGCTTCCAAGTGGCTACGATTACAGGTAGATCCATCAGCACCTGGCCCTTGCATGCTTTTTATATTATGCCTGGATGATTGAGGCAAAAGGGGCCTTGCCCACTAAGAAGGCAATGGGCTGCCAATGGGTTTTCATGGATACTTACTTGGCCTGGAGGGGACTCTGCTGATGGTAGTGAGAAGCCAGCAGTGAGCTGGTCTGGAAGCAGGGTAAGGAGAAGGACAGTTACACAGTATGACTGCCAGCAGCAATCCTGCAACACAGTGTGCCTTCACACTTACAGGCTTTGCTGTCCTTTATGAGAACAGCAGTTAGACTGTGTTCTGGTCTAGAACAGCTCCAGGTGAACCACTGCAAATCCCTTTTGCAACCAAGGGGGCTGAAACAGATTGCCAGGACATGGAAAACCTGCTTCTGTTTGTTTGAAGGCCCCAGACCCAGCAGCTGTATCCACAACTGGGGTAGCTGTGAGTTAGGTAGTGAGGTGGCATGGCAAAGCAACAAAGCACAGGTTTGAGGACCAGAGGCGTGAGGCCCAGCACACACACCAAGGTGTGAGAGAGCAAGGTTATTTACTCACTGAGGCATGCGCTCCTCTTTTAGAACAATGAGGATGATGGTAGGGACTACTCCTTAATACACTTTTGAGATTGGATAGAGGAAATGCATAAAGGTACAATGTTTGGCGGGTTGTAAATGATTATTAAGTTGTCTTTTGTTCGTAGTTATCTTGAGTGTTTGTGAGTGTGTGTGTGGGTGTGTGGGTGTGTACTGGGGTTTAAACTTGGGGCCTAAGCTCTGTCCCTTAGCTTTTTTACACAAGGCTGGTACTCTTCTATATCTCTACTTTTGGCTTTTTGGTGGTTAATTGGAGATAAAGAGTCTACTGGGCTTTCCTGCTTGGTCTGGCTTTGAACCTCAATCCTCGGATCTCAACCTCCTAAGTAGCTAGGATTACAAGTGTGAGCCACCAGTGCCCAACTTCTTATTTGATTTTATTTCTCGGTTGTTTCTCTGTGCAGTCAACAGCTGAAAGAAGTATGGCTGGTATGCTTTCTAAAACCACTGGGTCTCTTTGGCATGAAGGTTCTAGAGGGTATGTGCGAATAGCAGGTCAGTGTGTTGCCAGCCTGTAATGACTGGTTTTAATCTCTCTCTCTCTTTTTTTTTTCAGGGCAATATGCACGTTCTGGTGACTTATGGTGGGGACCCCATTCCTAAAAGTCCTTTCACCGTGGGTGTTGCTGCCCCACTGGACGTGAGCAAGATAAAAATCAACGGTCTGGAAAACAGTAAGTGACTAGTAGAGGAGAGATGGATTGTTGAAGACCAACAAATAGGGAGGGCTGACATTAGATTTCCTTCAAAAGACAGAAGACACAGAGAAGAGCCATCTTCAGAGGCTCTGTAGACAGACTTGGGTTTAATTCAGACCATATCATCATGAAGTAGCTCTGTGACCTGCTGCATGGGATAGGTTGGCTGAGAACACTTGCCTTCCTGAAAATGTGAAAAGTAAATGAGCCAATAATTCAGAAGGTGGCACATAGTCAGCCCTCTGTGCCCGGTGACGTCATCACTGGAGGCCGCTGTTCAGAGAAACTGGAGCACGTGGTTTTTGAATGAGTTTCTCACTGCGCCAATTACCCTTGGCAGCTGAGTCAAAGTGAGGTGTGTATGTTTTCTAAACCTGGTGCTGATGGCTCATGCCTATAGCCCTAGCTACTCAGGAGGCTGAGATGCTGACATCTGAGAGTTGTGGTTCAAAGCCAGCCCAGGCAGAAAAGTCCATGAGACTCTTACCTAAAGTGTTAGAGCACCAATTTTGAGCAAAAAAAAAGAAAAAGCTAAGGGAGAATGTGAGACCCTCTGTTCAAGCCTCCCTTCCCCTCCAAAAAGAAAAAAAAATATTGTTTAATATTTTTTTATTGTAGTGTTAAGGATAAAACCCAGGGCTTTACATCAGTGAGTAGTATGCACTTACACTCTGCTTCAGATGTTCCTTCCACTCAAGCTCTTTAAATTGTCTTTCACACTGTCCTGTTTTTCATCTAGAAAAGCTCCATTTGAACTGTTGTCACTGACTCCCCTCCCGGGATTGACTACAGTTATCAGTTCCCTTCTCATTCCCCATCTTTCCTACTCATGGAGACATGCAGGTGCAAACATTTGGGTGTTTACTAGCATTGTCCTGCTCTGTCTGCATGTCTTTAGATTGCATTCCACAGTCAGCATTGCATCCTGGAAACCATTCACACCTAGACCCCTCCCTTCACTGGTATTAGCTGCTTGGTGGTCCCAGATTGGATGCCTCAGTAGCACTTAGTGGGTAATGCTCAGGGTAGACCCCCTGTGTCCCTCTGTAGGGCTGCCCGGCATCTCAGCAGTACCCTCAATGAGCATCTTCATTGCCCTATGACCCAAATGCACAACTCATGACTGAGGCTAAGTCCCAATTCTGGGGCTATTGTTTAGTTTATCAAGATAGGATCTCATTATATAGCCAAAGCTGGCTTTGAACTCATGATCTTTTTACTGTTAGTATTACAGGCATATACCAGCACACCCAGCCGCAGCTCCCAGTTTCAGAGGTCCCGAAGTGTTGGCTTTTGTTGGCTATTCTAAGCATATGAATGCTCACTGTCCAATACTTTGACTTCTCCTCTTGCCACTTCTCTGTTTTTGTCAAACTAACACTTGAGTTTCCCATGGCTTGGTTTTGCAAAGACCTTTTAAAAACAGGGCTGGGGAGGTTGCTCAGTGGTAGAGTGCTTGTCTTGCAGGCATGAGGCCCTAGGTTTGATTCCTCAGCACCACATAAACAGGAAAGGCTGGAAGTGGCGCTATGGCTCAAGTGGGAGAGTGCTAGCCTTGAGCTGAAGCGTTGAAGGACAGTGCCCAAGCCCAGAGTTCAGGCCCCATGACCAATAAACAAACAAACAAACAAAGCCAGAGTCAGTTCTCAGGATTTGCTTCAACACTCTTACCTTTACCAGCGCTGTTACTTTTGCCTTCTTGGGGGAAGGAGAACTAGAGGATCAAATTCCCTGCCAAGAATTAGTAAATAATACATTGACTTACGGAAGTGTTTAGATAGAAGACTGTCATCAAAAGAAAGTCAAGAAGAGATCAGTGCTAGATTGTAAATTACTGGCTATACTCTATCAAAATAGTGTGTGCGGTGAAATTTGAGTTTAGGCTTTATAGCCTGTTGGATATGCCAACCCTAGACAAGTTACTTAATCTCTCTGGGCCTCAGTTTCCCTATTGGTTAGGGCCATTTGTTAGTGTTAAGTACCTAACAGGTTAAGGTGAAAATCCAGGAGACATGTGCTGTTATTGGTGTGTAGCATTCAAAGTACATTTAGTAAATGACAATAGTTGTTTTCATGGTTGTTGTGGAGGCTGAAATGTGATGACAAAGCCCTATGCCCAAATCACCACCCTTTCTCTGTTCATGATTGTTCTTGCTGCCTGAAAGGGGCCCCTCATCACTTTGGCTTGTTTCCCTTCCCCAGGGGTCGAGGTGGGAAAGGATCAGGAGTTTTCTGTGGACACCAAAGGGGCAGGAGGCCAGGGGAAGCTGGATGTAACAATTCTGAGCCCATCTCGGAAGGTCGTGCCATGCCTAGTGGCTCCTGTCGCAGGCCGGGAGAGCAGCACTGCCAAGTTCATCCCCCGGGAGGAGGGGCTGTATGCTGTCGATGTGACCTACGATGGACACCCCATCCCCGGGAGCCCTTACACTGTGGAGGCCTCATTGCCACCCGATCCCACCAAGGTCAGCTTTTGTTTTTGTTCCAGAACTTCTCAAATGCAACACAGTCCTCTGGTTCTACCTGGCAAAGGCTTTTGGAAGGGCTTTTGTTGTTGTTGTTTTTGCCAGTTCTGGGGCTTGAACTCAGGGCATGGGCACTGTCCCTGAGCTTCTTTAGTTCAAAACTAGCACTCTACCACTTGAGCCACAGTGTAGCTTCTGGCTTTTTCTGTGTATGTGGTCCTGAGGAATTGAACCCAGGGCTTCATGCATGCTAAGCAAGCACTGTACCATTAAGCCACATTCCCAGCCCTGGAAAGTCATTTTTATGTGATAAAAATCAGTTCTTAATGGCTGATGGTGGTTCTGGTACATCTCAGTGTGAAGGGTCCCCTGTGAAGCCACTCCTGGGTGGTTGGGTCAGACCCCTGCTCTTCCTCTGTCTCTGTTAGTGAGACTTTGGGTCCTGTTAGCATAATAACATTTTTAACCAGCCCATGGGGTTAAGTCTAGAGAGAGCAAATATGGAGGCATCAGCCAGTGTCCAGCATACAGATTCAACTCATCTTTAGAAGGTCTAAAAGCTTCATTTAAAAATACCTTCACTACGGGCTGGGAAGGTAGCTCAGCGGTAGAGTGCATGCCTTGCAAGCATGAGGCCCTGGGTTTGATTCCTCAGCACCACATAAACAGAAAAAGCTGGAAGTGGCGCTGTGGCTCCAGTGGTAGAGCGTTGGCTTTGGGTTGAGAGCTGAGGGACAGCGCCTAGACCCAGAGTTCAAGCCCCATGACCGGCAAAAAAAAAAAAAAAATACCCTCACTATCATTTCTTACTGGCATTCTTGGCTCAAAGGTTAGGGGATTTCCAACGGTCTGAGTGGCATGAATCTATGAATCTATGTGATTTGTTGAGTCAGAAATGAAAGCATCATTCCTCCCTTTCTTTCTTTAAGAAATGGTTTAATTTATTATGCAAGCTTCGTTGACTTTAGTTAGCAGTCTGAGCTATAGTAAGGAACATGAAATCTGTTCTATAAGCTCTCAACTCATGTGCATTTGTTGGACAAGATTTCAGGTCTCAGTTCCAGCCCTGTGGTTCAGAAGAGCCATTGGATGGCATTGTCTAGGAAGGGCTGGACTCCTGTTCTTGATGCCCAGGGCTATGGCTCCTGCTAGCTACTTGCCATACTGACTGCACTGGGCTCTCCCTTAGTGAAGGGAGAGGGAGAGGGACCATGTAATGGAGCTTCAGTGTTGGTTGTTATAAGTGTTGAGGCTGTCAGCAATGCCAGCTCCAGGTAGAATAAAGACTTATTCTTGTTCAATCAGGTGAAGGCCCATGGTCCTGGACTTGAAGGTGGTCTTGTGGGCAAGCCTGCTGAGTTCACCATTGACACCAAAGGAGCTGGAACTGGAGGTTTGGGTCTAACCGTGGAAGGTCCGTGTGAGGCTAAAATCGAATGCTCTGACAATGGCGATGGGACCTGTTCTGTCTCTTACCTTCCCACAAAACCCGGGGAATACTTTGTCAACATTCTGTTTGAAGAAGTCCACATACCGGGGTCCCCTTTCAAAGCCGACATTGAAATGCCATTTGACCCCTCCAAGGTCATAGCGTCAGGACCAGGTCTTGAGCATGGGAAAGTGGGTGAAGCCGGAATCCTTAGTGTTGACTGTTCAGAAGCAGGGCCTGGGGCCCTGGGCCTCGAAGCTGTCTCAGACTCAGGAGCAAAAGCTGAAGTCTGTATTCAGAACAACAAAGATGGCACCTACGCAGTAACATACGTGCCACTGACAGCCGGCATGTATACCCTCACCATGAAGTATGGTGGCGAGCTGGTGCCACACTTCCCTGCCCGGGTCAAGGTGGAGCCTGCTGTGGACACCAGCAAGGTCAAAGTCTTCGGACCAGGAATAGAAGGAAAAGGTGAGTTTCCATAACAAAAGAGGCTGAGATCTAAGGGCCAACAGGGCCAAGCCATGGGGTTCTCTCAGTTTTCTGCAGGAAAGGAGGCACCCCATGGCTTCTGTCTTCAGTGAGAGTTGTGGAAGAACGGGGAGCACAAAGCTCCATTTTCTGTTTCTCCATGGGGAATGGGGCCCACAATTATAGGTAGAATTAAGCCAGAAAACTTGATTTTTTAAATTATTATTATTTTTAGTGTGGTAGCAGCATGTTATATTGTTGGCTCATAGTTGGAATTAGATTTAAAATGAGTGTGCTAGAGTTTGGTCTGCAGTACAGCCCAGCTCCCCCTGAATGCCTTTCTCCTCTAAAATCATGGCATTGGGACTGGGTCTCACACAGTAACAGGAGACGTTCCTTTAACTTGCTTTAGGCCCCTACCTTTGTGTTTTTCTTTAGCAAGACTACCCTTGGAAGAAGCGGCTTCTTGTGGGACTCTGATGTCACTGAAATTCGACTTAATATGTGCCGAAGTCCTAAGAACCTTCATTCTGGGGTTTGCTCTTGGGTCCAAAATGTTGGCGAGGTTGTTATCTCTGTGGTTCCTCTACAGATGTATTTCGGGAAGCCACCACCGACTTCACAGTAGACTCTAGACCCCTGACCCAGGTAGGGGGTGACCACATCAAGGCCCACATCAGCAACCCCTCTGGGGCCTCCACGGAATGCTTTGTCACTGACAATGCTGATGGCACCTACCAGGTGGAGTATACACCGTTTGAGAAAGGTGAGGAGTAGTCCTCTTCTGTGATATAATCCTGGTTCAAAGCTGTGCTTGGCTTCCTCCCAGTGGCTGATGATGACCTCTGACCCCTGTGCTCATACCACCTCAGCAAGGGAAGGTACAAAGGAACATGAAAATGTAAAACCTTTGGGGCTAAGGGCTCAGTGGTAAAGCCCTTATGCCTAAGGTCCCCCTAGGTTCACAGAGGGGAAAAACTAGAAGGAAAAGAAAAAGAAAGACATGAAATCTCTCCAGCATATTACTTACCTGCGTGGCACCTGAGTTTTTGATCTTGTTCTGTAGTAGGTGGGCTGGCCCTTAGCCTGAGGAGCCTTGCAAGCAGGTTATGGATGATGTCATGGAATGTTGCAATGAGCAATTTGTGTGACTTTTTTTTTTTTTGGTCCAGTCGTGGGGCCTGAACTCTGGGTCTGGGTGCTGTCCCTCAGCTCTTCAGCTCAAGGTTAGCACTCTACCACTTGAGCCATAGCACCACTTCCGGCTTTTTCTGCTTATGTGGTGCTGAGGAATCGAACCCAGGGCCTCAGGCATGCAAGGCAAGCGCTCTACCACTGAGCCACCTTCACAGCCCCAATTTGTTGAATGTTAATTTATTTTTTGAATATTAGAGATGGTAAACTTAAACAGCATAAAGATAAAAACTAAATCACCAATTACCTAGACAATATGATCCTAAAAATACTCTGGTGCTGATATTTTCATTTTTTCTCATCATGCATCTATCTTTTCTATTTTCTAAGTTTCCAGTGGTCTTTTGATTAATAGCTAGTTTTCCCAAATCAAGGCAATATGCTTAGGATACATAGGCTTAGTGATGTTTCTTGAGGGTAGCATGGGTGGTTATATGACAGACAAGTATACAGAAAGAATAAATAGCATATATTTTTAAAGTAAGGTTATAGCAAAATTGTCTTTTCCATAACTTGCTCTTGTTTTTTTTTTTTTTTTATTTTTATTTTTCGTGCTGGTCCTGGGACTTGGATTCAGGCCTGGACCCTATTCCTGAGCTTTGTTTGCTCAAGGATAGCACTCTACTACTTAAGCCACTATTCCACTTCTGGCTGTGTGTGTGTGTGTGTCTGTGTGTCTGTGTGTGTGTCTGTGTCTGTGTGTGATTGATTAATTAGAGATAAGAGTCTCATGGACTTTTCTGCCTGGGCTGGCTTCTAACCTTTATCCTCAGATCTCAATCTCCTGAGTAGCTAGGATTACAGGTATAAGCCACTGGTACTGGGTATAACATGCTCTTTTTAAATAACACAGTATACCACACAGACTTGACTGCTAGATGAAACCCTGAAGTAGTGTTATTTCATCCAAATAGGTGACTTGTCTGCAAATAGGTCTTTCTGTTTGTTGTTTTGAGCAGGTCTCCATGTAGTGGAGGTGACATATGACGAGGTGCCTGTCCCAAACAGTCCCTTCAAAGTGGCTGTAACTGAAGGCTGCCATCCATCTCGGGCCCAAGCCCACGGTCCTGGATTGAAAGAAGCCTTTACCAACAAACCCAATGTCTTCACTGTGGTTACCAGGTACAAAGGATCCTGGATTCAGTGTGTTGATTCTCTGAAAGGAGCAGCCTTATATAGTTTCCATGTTTTAAAAGTCTGTGGTCTCGGGCTGGGAATGTGGCTTAGTGGCAGAGTGCTTCCGTAGCATGAAGTCCTTAGTACCACATAAACAGAAGAAAAAGTAGAATTGGCGCTGTGGTTCAAGTGGTAAAGTGCTAGTGTTGAGCAAAAGAAGCTGAGAGACAGTGCCTAGGCCCTGAGTTCAAGCCTCAGGACTGGCCAGAAAAAAAAAGTCTGGTTTTTGCCAGGAGCTGGTGTCTCATGCCTATAATCCTGGTTACTGAGAAGGTCAAGATCTGAGGATCATGGTTCAAGGCCAGCTGTGGCAGGAAAGTCCATCAGATTCTTATCTCCAATTAACTGCCCAAAAAAAGCCAGAAGTGGAGCTGCCAGAGGTGGTAGAACTCTAGTCTTGAGCAAAAAAAAAAAAAAAAAAAAAAAAGCTCACTCACACATAATGATCAGGCTCTGAGTTCAAGCTCTAGGACCAGCATCAAGACAAACAAACAGGACAAGTCTTTAGTCTTAGCTGGGTGCTGGTGGCTTACACTTATAATCTTAGCTACTCAGGAGGCTGAGATCTGAGTGTTGAGGTCCAAAGCCATTCCAGGCAGTAAAGCCCATGAGATTCTTATTTCCAGTTAACCACCACAAAGCTAGAAGTAGAGCTGTGCCTTAAGTTGTAGAGCACTACTGTTAAGCCATATAGCTCAGGGGCAGCACCCAGAACCTAAGTCCAAGTCCCAGGGCCAATACCAAGGGGAAAAAAAAAAGGAAAGAAAAAAAAAAGGTGTATGGTCTCCTAGCATTCAGTAAGGTACAATTTGTCTGAGGTATTTTCTTCTCAAAAGACACATATTACAAAGTCTCAAGTATACCTAAAAACATACCAGAAAATTGATCATAGTTATGATCGCAGAGCAAACAGACTAGATAGAAGCGATGCTGCTCAGCTTGATAATGCAGAAATATAAATGCATGTGTGCGTGTGCATGTACACGCGCACGTGTGTGTGTGTGTGTGTGTGTGTGTGTGTGTGTGTGTGAATGTTAGAACTGACCTATTAGAATTGACCACAAAATGGGGGTAGAGTGTAGCTTGGTGCCAGAGCACACGTAAGGCCCATGCCTGCATTGTGTTCACAGTATTAGCCGGTGCAATTAGATAAGAAAAACAAATGAAGGATAAGCATCAGAAAGGAACTCTTGAGAAATGTACTATGCAAGAAGGGTTATCACATTGGCTGAGTCAGGTTGACTCATATCTGGGACAACTGGTTAACTGGGCTGGTATATAGAGGGATTTTAAATGAATTCTGACAATAACCACTAGCATGGGTTGTATGCATTTCATTTTTTTCTCTACCCTTTCCAGAGGGGCAGGAATTGGCGGGCTTGGCATCACTGTTGAAGGACCGTCAGAGTCCAAGATAAACTGCAGAGACAACAAAGATGGCAGCTGCAGTGCTGAGTACATCCCCTTTGCTCCAGGGGATTATGATGTTAATATCACTTACGGAGGATCCCACATCCCTGGTAAAGCTTGGTTTTGCTTCTCTCTCTCTCTCTCTCTCTCTCTCTCTCTCTCCCCCTCCCTCCCTCCCTCTCTCTCTCTTCCTCTCTTTCTCTCTCTGGAGTAGAAAAAAATGGACTGATATTTGTAGCAACTGCAAATATAGTTTTCCTGAGAACATCCTAACTCCCAGTGTAGCCAGTGACATGATAGAAAACATTCGCTTAAAGTGTTTGCTGGAAATAATAGCTCATGTGTTGGAGGAGCTTTGTTCGTGATTTAAGGCAAAGCTGGTTCTTTACCAAGCTGAAAATTTTCTACTTTAATTTGTGCTTATTCATCTACTTTATGGGTCTCTTTCCCCATTAAAAGTCCTGGCAGCTTGACAGACACACACTAATTCAACTTCTTGTTTGTTCAGTTCTTTTCTGACATTGAAGATATTTACTATGAACAGGGGACACTGAAGATATTTACTTGGAATAGCCTGGGTGCTGTTGGCCTTTTACATTACTATTGTTACTACTGTAGGGAATTTCAGCCACAAGCAAAACAGAAAAGCTCCTGGCCCTGAAGTGTTTAGGTGCTTGCCTAAATACTTTAACACCTTGCTTAGCATTTATATAGCTAAAACTTGTAACTGCTAAGAAGTGAGAAAATAGAAGTAATTGACAAAATAGGGATCCCTTTCAGAGTTTTACCACAATGGACTGTATGAGATGAGAGAGAGAGAGAGGAAAGAGAAAGGAGTACCAAGAACAGGCAGACATGTGTCCCCACGGGGTTTCCTCCAGGAAGGGAGCAACAGTAAAGATGATGCAGTTGTGGTTGCAATCAGAGCTGTTCTGACTTTTGGGAGAGCGCTACATGCCATGAACTTAGATTCCACCTGCAGAAGGGGTAAGAGTGAATTTGGGCTGAACAGCAAGGCCAAGGCAAGTGGCAATTTCCATAACTTTCTCAGGCAGAGATGTTTAGTCAAGTTGTTGGTTGTTGTGATTGCATCATGTATTTAGCTTATGAGGTACTGAAACATTCAGTTACCTGCTTCATTCCTAATTTGTTTCCTGAGAATGCTAGGTGGTTAAACATGAAGACAGTTTTTCTTGGCCTAGTACAAACCTCCAATAGGATTATGTTAATCAGAGTATCCTATCTTACCCATAACAGCTTATTTGATTTTTATGATGGGCCAGCAGTAATCTATTGGTGGTGGTTGCCTAGACTCCTGGATTGGCTTGGGTTCAGAGCATGTCAGGAAGAAGAGCTGTCATGATCGATTGGTGATGTCTGCCAAGGACAAAGAACAGTTGTCTGGCAGATAATGTTTGATGTCTACCATCTTGGGCCAGATTTTATCTTACCTGTGCATGCTGTTTCATGGCTTCTTTCATGCTGTGTTCAGATGATTTCTAATGAAGGCTGTGACTTAGAAGCTAGCCTCAGAGGCAGTTCATGGCCGTCTTGTGTTCATATTCAATGCTTCAACTGTCACTCTATTGATTAAAATCTCCATTTTTGTTTCCCTAAACTCATGTTTGAAGGGTTGTACTTGCCCTTGCCAGAGTCAGCCACTTATTTAATTTAACTGAAAAACTGGACTCCATAAATACCTCGCCGTTGTTAGGAAACCAGAGTCTCAAATTTCTTTGTGCAGTGTTTATTATGTGCGTTCCCTAATTCCACAAAATACAAGCTTTCTGGGGTGCCATAACAGAGAGGCTCTGGCTTCCATAGCAGATGCCTGGCAGTTGCCAAAGACAGGACTCCAGTAATGGCCAGGGGTGTATGAAGCCACGTAAGGCAAGGTTCTGGGGACACTGGAACTGCCATTTCTGAGAGGCGCCTGTTTGGGAGGAGGCCCTTCGGATTCATGACCCAGCCTTGTTCTTCTGTTTAGCACTTCTCTCACAAATTCCAGCCTCCCTTTGTTCTCCATGTTTGATTAATTTTTTTTTATTATAGTTGGCACCCTCAAAGAGTCAGAGGCCCACAGGGTTCCCAGGGTTCGGCCATGCAGCAGGACAACAGAGAAAAGCTTATCCTCAGAGAGAAGCAAGGCACTACTAGATGATCAGGGATCCCAGAAGGCCATGTGTGGTTTGGAGAAGAATCTAGGGGGGGCACTCTGGAGCCATTTGCAGGATAGGAGGTTGGATGTTCAAGCCTTCTGTACCCTCTCTGGCCTTTTCCATATGCTTCTACTACTTAACTTGCTCCTATAGTTCTTCCAGTAGCCTGTCTTCTCCCTTACCTCTGGGCCTTTGCACTAGCTGGTGTCACTGGTCCAAGCACCTCTCTATCTACTTCCCTGGTTGTCACCTGCTCCTTCCTGTGTCTCAACCCAGATGTTACAGCCTTGTAGACTAGGTTCATGGTATCCTGGATGCTCCCTGATATACTCCTCCCATGTTACATAAGTCAGAGTGACATGCTCATATTATCATTTCCATACATCGTGGGTCCTCAGTGGACCAGTAGCCACTTAGACCTAGCACAATGTCTGCATGTAGTAGACACTCTAGATGCTTGTTGAAACAGTGAGTAGGCACATAGGTGTATGCTCAGCAGGGAAAGAGGTAATCAATGCCTATACAATCAAGATCTAGCTGGATCAAGAATGTAGATCTCCAGGTGGGTAGCTTATGCCTGAAATCGTAGCTACTCAGGAGGCTGAGGTCTGATGATTGTAGTTCAAAGCCAGCCCAGGCAGAAAAGTCCCCGTGAGACTACTATTTCCAATTAACCACTCAAAAAACTGGAAATAGCCCTGTGGCTCAAGTGGTAGAGAGCACTAATGTTAAGCACAAAGAGGCTCAGGGACAGCGCCCCGTTCTGAGTTCAAGCCCCACAACTGATCAAAAAAAAAAAAAGTAAGTATAGATTTTGGAGGTGTGACTCAGTTAGTAGAGCATTTAGCATCAATGAACAAAAGCATTAGGTACTGAGTCTGAGTCCCAGGCTTGGATCAAACAAAGAAAAAGAAAAGAATATAATTCTAGGTGTGCACAGGGCCAGTACCAACTGCTATGTTCTCAAAAAGCTCTTAACTTCTTTTCCAGGTAGTCCCTTCAGGGTTCCTGTGAAAGATGTCGTGGATCCCAGCAAGGTCAAGCTTGCTGGCCCTGGGCTGGGCTCTGGTGTCCGAGCCTGTGTTCCACAGTTCTTCACAGTAGATAGTAGCAAAGCCGGCCTGGCCCCACTGGAAGTAAGGGTCCTGGGCCCACGAGGTGAGTATGTGTGCCCTGCCTCTCTTGCAATATCCATTTACCCTAGGCTCCAACCCAAAACTGGTGCTTTACTTTTGAGCTCAATCATGATCTTAAATTCTTAAACTACTTGTTGCTCTATAGTCTAGGTAACCAGTAGAAGGTCCTGTTTAAAAGGGAGTAGGCCTGTTATTTCTCCAGAAGCCTTTCTCTCCCTCTCTTTTAATAATATGGCCCTAAATTTCTTTTGATTTTTTTTTTTTTTTGGCCAGTCATAGGGCTTGAACTCAGGGCCTGGGCACTGTCCCTGAGCTTCTTTTGCTCAAGGCTGGCACTCTACCACTTGCCACAGCACCATGTCCAGATTTTACTGTTTATGTGGTACTGAGGAATCAAACCCAGAGCTTCATGCATGCTAGGCAAGCACTCTACCACGAATCCACATTTCCAGCTAAGTTTTACTGCTTTTAAGTAGCTAGCTGAACAAGTGTGTGGGGACTTCCCATGTGATGCTGGTTTGGCTGACTCTCTACCTAGTGCGTTGTGGAGGTCAGGGAAGTCCAGCTGTGTATGGGTTCTGGGGTTTAGAAGTCTTGACTCTCTTTGCCATGCCTGGGTGCTCATGTGGAACCTACTAGAATCTTGGAAATGCCAAGGCTGTCATTGTCACAACTCCCTGGAGAGAAAAGATCTCTTGGGAAGTAGGTTATGGGCAGCCATTCTGCCCTTTTGGCACCCTGAAATTCAGGTTTGCAGTGGCTAGGAGGCCATTTGGGGACAGAGCTCTGAAGTTTGTTGAGACCTGCCTTTTTTGGTGAGCAATCACATTTCTTCTAGCATTTAAGATGTGCCTTTCTTCCCAGCTGAGGCACAGTGTGCCTAGTTTTTTAAGTAATCTGAACTTTCCCCTCCCACCCCCTCAATGTGTTGTTGGCTTCCAGAAATGACAAATAGAGCTTCCTCCTTTAAAGAGGAACCTTCTCCTTAATGTCCTTAATGGGGTTCAGCATGAGGTTATGCCCTTTGAAGCTCAGAGCAGAAGTGGTTTGGGTAAAATGAGGTCATGGGGCTGGAATCTCATTCTGTGAACCTTCTGATCATCAAAGATGTGTGTGCGTGTGCGTGTGCGTGTGTGGGGGGGGTACATGTTGTGTATGCATGTGTATATACCATTCATGTGTGTGAAAGCTTTACTTGGTCATTGACCTCTATTATGGAGGACTTTTCGGTAACCGCTTTTTAATTTTAGCTGATGAGATGGATTCCCAGTCATGGCACAGCCCCTCGAAAGCCATGTCAGAGTTCTTTAAAGATGACCCAAGGGGTGACTTTATGGAGACAGGTTCGGATTTCCTATTGGCTGCTGCTTTAAATTATGTAATGTGAATGTCTCTTGCTGGCTTCTCCTCTAAAATCAGTTTGTCTCTGCCACCATGCTTGATTAACTTACCCTACTGTTTACGCATCCCTGAGAATCGTATTCTGAGCTGGAATCTGGGATCTGATCAACACAGTACATACCTTGATTGTGCTTCCACATAATCCCTCACCCCTGCTGGCATCCTGTTGAGGGCCACCTCACTTCAGGAAATTGACACCCTCCCTTGCCCTGTACCCGTACCCTGGCATGTTGGCACCGTGGTGGTCTTTGTCTAACTGTGGCTACCTTAACTGTCCAGCCGATGGGTTAATTTTTGCTCTTCAGGCTTCTGGAGTCTTTGGCATTTTCTCAGCTGTAGAGTGAAATTGCCACATCCCAAGCATGCCTAACCAGCTTGAAAAGTTATAGGGTGTCTGCAGCAGCATCCTTACCATACGCCCTCAAGGAGCAAGCATGGGCAGTCTCCTTAATTACACCCTAGGGCAGACCGAGTGTACTTTCGCCAACAAAAAGCTAAAGGTGTTTCTTGGGGTCATTTCTGCAACCAGGAGTTGTGGATCCTGTGATTTCTTAGGCCTGTGATTATGGCCTGCTTGCCTTGTGTTACTCATCAGTGAAAACCAATAGCTTTCAGGGATGGTTGTGATCCTTTTTCAAACTCAGCCAAGGGTGGAGTGAAGGGGAGGCCAAGAAGCCGCTCAAAACCTCTCATCTCTGTCCTCAGGCCTGGTGGAGCCAGTGAACATGGTGGACAATGGCGATGGCACACACACAGTGACTTACACCCCCTCTCAGGAGGGGCCTTACATGATCTCTGTTAAATATGCTGATGAAGAGATCCCTCGGAGGTAAGCACCCTGCCCCTGAGGAAAGGGTCCAAACTGGCCTGAAGCCCACGGCCTATAGGAATGGCAAGCACCACTCTTCTCCGGTGCTGCTTCTTCCTCTCACCCACCATTCATTCACCCAATCAGCAAATACTTCCTGGTCCTTGGATTCCTATCCTGTTGTCTCCTTTTATCCATGTTTGATTTAAAGGGGAGCTGAAGAGGATGTGGGGAGAAAAGGGAGAAAGCCGAAATTAAGAAGTTAGGGCATGTATTTTCCAGAGATTTCCTTTTGGTGACCCTGCAAGTCACCTTCTGATTAAGACAAAGGTGTTTCCCTTACCTTGAGATTATAGTTGACCATAGAATCCTCAAAAGATGTTGGATAGAAGCCTTATTACCGGTTAATAATAATATATTGCATGAACTCTTCACCTCTGAAACACCTCCAAAGTTTTTTGTTTGTTTGTTTTAAAAACCATATCCCCAGTGATAGAAAAGTTACCATACCCTCAACATGCACGTTTTGTTTGGATATTTATATACCTATATTTCCAGGTATGTAGAAATTTTTAATTTAAAAATCACCTTTGTCAGCTGGGCTCTGGTAGCTCACACCTGTAATGGCTGAGATCTGAGGATCACAGTTCAAAGCCAGCCCAGGCAGGAAAGCCCATGAGACTCTCATCTCCAATAAACCACCAGAAAACTGGAAGTGGCACTGTGGCTCAAGTGGTAGAGTGCTCACCTTGAGCTGAAGAGCTGAGGGACAGGGCCCAGGCCCAGAGTTCAAGCCCCACAATTGACAGAATCCCACAAAACAAAAAACAAAACCCACCTTTGTCTGCTTCTTTACTAATATATCATGTATCATAGAAACATACAAAATACAGACTACAAATAAATAGAGAATGCATTGTGATAAAACATGAAAACTGAACTCATATTCTTTCCATGTTGGTGACCATTAGCATAACAAATGTGCATTAAATGAGTGTAACTAATATGAAAGCCCTTTTCCCCAAACTAGTTATAACTCATGAGATGCACTCATGTTTGGGCTGATTGTTATTTGGTGGCTTCTATCTCATTACTCTATATTTCTACAAGAATTATGTCCCTTTGATCAAACCTCCTGTCTGGCCTGCTGTAGAAATCCTGCATTTGGTCCCAATCTCTGTAAGAGTTGGATTGATTGGTATCATTACTCACCTGGGTGTGTATGTGTCCATCAAGTCCCTTTAAGGTCAAGGTCCTGCCCACGTACGATGCCAGCAAGGTGACTGCCAGTGGCCCTGGCCTCAGTTCCTATGGGGTGCCTGCCAGCCTGCCTGTGGAGTTTGCAATTGATGCCAGAGACGCTGGGGAAGGCTTGCTTGCTGTGCAGATAACGGTAACTCTTGAGTTCTTTTCTGGATTCAAACCTTATTAGTAAGACCTGATTTCCAGGTCAGGAATAAGAATAAGGACCTTAATAATAACCAATTTCAACCCCATATAAGTTCCACTTAGTATTTCAGTGAGACAAGAAATCTGCTCACCTGAGAGGCTTACAGATGTATCTCTAGGCACCACTTTGTAGTGAGTGTTATTATGTCTCTTTCTATGTTTTTATTTTTTTAATGTTTTAAGTCACCCATGGGACCAATTGGCACTAAGTACTGCAGTATACCAAACACATGGGATTATCCTCTCTTGATAAAAACACTCAGAGGTAAGCCACGAAGTCCTTGGGTCACCAAGGAAGAAGACTCCATCTGCCTGGGACTTTATCCATGTGTGGCTGGCTCTGCCTTTAATGTCCTCATGGTCTGTGAGCCTACCAGAACTCTGGCCATCATATCTACATGGCAGGCCAGAAAGAGAAAGAAAGAAAAAAGGAAGGAAAGAAAGAAAAGAAAGGAAGGAAAGAAAGAAGAGAGAGCAAAAGACCTCAGCTTAGCCAATTTATCAATTCTATGAGCACCTCCTCATAGCCTTCCACTACTATCTTATGATCAAAATTAATCTCACATCACACAACTCCTAGATGGAAATGAGGCTGGGACATAGAGCCTTGTGTTCTGGCAGCAGGGGCACCTGGCTAAGAATGAGGGTCTTGCTGGTATAGGAAAAAGAGAGTGCAGATATGGTAGGTTGTGAGCTGAGCTCTTGCCCCTTACTCTACGTACTCAGTGTGTTTAGAGCCACAACATTTCATTCATTTAACAGACCATCACGGTATGATCAGTGACCCTCTCCTCTCCCTATAAGACAAAGCAAGAGCATACTGAGCCATCGCTTCTGTCTCTTTCTGCTAGAGGTGCCAATTAATGACATAATACATCAAGCTTTGCACAGATGTTTCTTGCATGTTGAGCACAGCATCCTATCTAGCATTTCTCTGTGATTCACAGGACCAAGAGGGAAAACCCAAAAGAGCCATGGTCCATGACAATAAAGATGGCACATATGCTGTCACCTACATCCCTGACAAGACCGGGCGCTACATGATTGGGGTCACCTATGGTGGAGACAACATCCCATTCTCTCCTTACCGCATCCGGGCCACACAGACAGGTGATGCCAGCAAGTGTCTAGCCACAGGTGAGTTCAGGGTAACAGCAAGGTCAGGAGAGTGGCTTTGGAGTCGGTCTGTCCCATGTAATGTCTGTGATCTGGGCAAGTTCTTCATTGTTTGTTTGTCCATTGGGAGCTTAAATTCAGGGCCTGGGTGCTGTCCCTGAGCTCTTTTGCTCAAGGCTAGTGCTCTACCACTTTGAAACACAGCTCCACTACTGGTTTTTGTTTTTTTGTTTTTGTCGGTCATGGTGCCTGAACTCTGGGCCTGGGCACTGTCCCTTAGCTCTTCAGTTCAAGGCTCAAGGCTAGCGCTCTACCACTTGAGCCATAGCACCGCTTCCGGCTTTTTCTGCTTATGTGGTGCTGAGGAATTGAACACAGGGCCCTCATGCATGTGAGGCAAGAACTCTACCACCGAGCCATCTTCCCAGCCCCTTCCACTACTGGTTTTTGAGCGATTAATTGGAGGCTTAAAGAGTCTCATGAGGACTTTTCAGCTCAGTCTGACTTCAAACTGTGATCTTCAGATCTCAGCCTCCTGAGTAGCTAGGATTACATGCATGAGCCACCAGCACCTAGCTAAGTTCTCCTGTTTTAATTAGGCCCAGTCATAGAAACTTTTCTTTTCCTTCCTTCCTTCCTTCCTTCCTTCCTTCCTTCCTTCCTTCCTTCCTTCCTTCCTTCCTTCCTCTCTTCTATCTCTTTCTTTCTTTCTCTCTCTCTCTCTCCCTCTCTTTCTTTCTTTCTTTTGTCTTTCTCCTCCCTCCTTCCCCTTCTCTTCCTTCCTTCTTTCTTTCCCTGGGGCTTAAACTCAGGGCCTTGGCACTGTCCCTGAGCCTCTTTTGTGCTCAAGGCTAGTACTCTACCACTTGAGCCATGGTGTCACTTCTGTTTTTTTCTAAACAATTTTCTTTTTTGATATTTGGGTTTTTTCTTTTTTGTTTTGTTTTGTTGGTCTTTTCTGGTACTGGGGGTCGAATCCAGAATGGTGTACTTGCTAGACAATCACTTTGCCACTGAGTTTCATCCCAGCCCACTTCTGGCTTTTTCTGAACAGTTATTAGAAATAAGAGTCTCACCAACTTTTCTGCTTGAGTTGGCTTTGAACTGCCACCTTCAGATCTTTCTTTCTTTCTTTCTTTCTTTCTTTCTTTCTTTCTTTCTTTCTTTCTTTCTTTCTTATTTTTTGAGCAACATTCAAATTCCAGAAGTTCTTCCAAGGATTGTAGACTTTTGACAGGGTTATTGCAAGATTAGATGCAGTCAGGCAAGAAAAGTGCTGAGTATGGGACCAGGTACTTGAGAACTATTTTATTACTTTTGAAGTGGGTACATTTGTTGAGGTCCAGGTTTGATGGGGATTCCCATGAGAACAGTAGGTGTTTCACTTAATCAGGACTCATTTAAGAGAATTTCAGGTCAGCATTAGAAACATACATGAAGGGATTTGGGGGTTTCCTCTCAGGAGCTCACAAATATTTAAGCCTCAACATTCATTCAGTTTCTCAGACATGGCTGCCACTAGACTTTCATTTATTTTATTGATTTTTTTTTTTTATTTTGGTAGGTCATAGGGCTTGAACTCGGGGCCTGGGTGCTGTCCCTGAGCTCTGAGCTCATTAGCTCAAGACTAGTTCTCTATTGATTTGAGCCACAGCACCACTTCCAGTTTTCTCATGGCTGATTGGAGAGAAGAGTCTCACAAACTTTACTGAGCTGGCTTTGAACCTTGATCCTCAGATCTTATCCTGCTGAGTAGCTAGTATTACAGCCTTGAGCCACCAATGCCTGGCTAGCCTGTCCACTTTTTTGTTGTAGTTGTTGGTCGTGGGGCCTGAACTCTGGGCTTGGGCTCTGTCCCTCAGCTCTTCAGCGTAAGGCTAGCACTCTACCACTTGAGCCACAGCACCACTTCCAGTTTTTTTCTGCTTATGTGGTGCTGAGGAATGGAACCCAGGGTTTCATGCACGCAAGGCAAGCGCTCTACCACTGAGCCACCTTCCCAGCCCCATAGCCTTTCCACTTCTAAGAACATCTCCTGCTGCTCAGTGTTGGCTGCTCAATCCCATTTCAAAATATGATTCCCCTTCTCTGAAAGAAATGGATTTGGTTCTTGTAAAATAAGGAAACTAAATGGGATGGCTTCGTTCTTCCATCCCATCCTGCGTGGAAGCCATCTACTGGCTTTCCGTACAAGGTTTATGAGTTGCTTATGTTGGCTCTTTTTGTCTCACCCATGGCAAAACTTGAGACATACTGGCTGGACCACCTTACTTCTTGTGGTCGATGCAGTGATCTGACAGCCTGCGGGTACTTGCTGACCCAAGGGCATGCTATCATGAGCAAGGCCTCCTTGCTTCCTCCCCTTGTAATGTCCTGACCTGGTGGTGCCTGGTGACTACACCTTTTTGCTTTATCGTCCAGGGCCTTGCACAGACTAGCTTGTCTTTTCCTCTCCTCACTGTGTGAGCAACATTCTTAGCACTTCTCATTTCCCCATTATGCCTACACACTTTCCTCATTTGGGCCAATGTTATTTTCCTACATACTTTTCTGTGCCTTCTGATTTATTTATAAAGAGGTCACAAGTCAGAGAAGATAGAGTCTGGTGGTTTTCGGGAAGAGAGCACAATACTCCCCTGTCCTAGAGCACACATGCTTCGGGGTTGAGATATTTTTGTTCTTTTCAGGAAGCTCTGTCCGTGTGACAACCAAAGAAAGAAGTTCTTTTCCTTTTTTCCTGTTTTTGTCACTAATAGGATTTTGTACTCTGCCGTGCACTTGCTAGGCAAGCATTCTACTTGAGCCACACCGCTACCCTTTTTAAATTTCTTTCTGTGTGTGTGTGTGTATTGGGGCTTGAGTTCAGGGCCTGTGTTCTGTCCCTTAGCTTTTTCACTCAAGACTGGCACTCTACCACTTGAGAAACAGATGTACTTCCAGTTTTTTGGTGGTTAATTAGAAATGAGAGTCTCACAGATTTTCTGCACAGAATGACTTTGGACCTTGATCTTCAAATCTCAGCTTCCTGAGGAGCTAGGATTACAACAGGAATAAGCCACTGGGGCCCAGCTTTAGTTTGTTTGTTTTTGTTTTCCTTCTGTTTTTGAGATGGGATCCCAGGGCTGGGAAGGTGGCTCAGTGGTAGAGCACTTGCCTTGCATGCATAAGGTCCTGGGTTCGATTCCTCAGCACCAAATAAGCAGAAAAAGCTGAAGTGGCGCTGTGGCTCAAGTGGTAGAGCACTAGCCTTGAGCTGAAAAGCTGAGGGACAGCGCCCTGGCCCACAGTTCAGGCCCCACATCCAGAAAAAAAATGATAATTGAGTGCAATAAATAAACTATAAAAAAAAAAGAGATGGGATCCCACTAGATTGTTCCCTAGACTGCTTTCAAATTATGATCTTCCCATCTCTGCCTCCCTAGGAGTTGAGATTACAGGTTTGTGCCCCAATGCTCAGCCACCCTGAGATAAGAATTCTTAGGACCTTGGGATCAATGAGCAGCAGGATACTCCTGGAAAAACAAAAATGGATTTTTCTATAATATTGTCCCTCCTCTTCTTTCTGGTGTCAGGTAGAGCTGTCAGTCATGGTGCTGGCCCACCTCTATCTGCTCTGCTAGACTAGAAGCATTTGAAGTGTGTGTATGTGGTGTGTGTGTGGGGGGGTGTGGTTTGCTTCCTGGCCCTTATGGGTATCTGGCCTTTAAGTAAGTGCTCAATATGTCTACCAATGAGTTGCCCTTCATCCCCTTATCATTGGATGCAGACAGTCAGAGCTGACATTCATTTGAAGCCCTTGATCAGTACTGTTTGCCAGTGGCTGAGGGACTGTTCACCTATCTGGCACCAGTGTCAAATAGTTGTAGATACACACAGCCCACACAAATGTGATTTCTTCTTTGGTCTCTGGGAAAGTGTCCACCCATGACCAATGCTTCTCTTCACTCTTGAACCCTTTTTCTCCAGGTCCTGGCATCGCCCCTATTGTAAAAACTGGCGAGGAAGTAGGTTTTGTGGTGGACGCCAAGACTGCTGGGAAGGGGAAAGTGACCTGCACAATTCTGACCCCAGACGGGACTGAGGCTGAGGCTGATGTCATCGAAAATGAAGATGGCACCTATGATATTTTCTATACAGCTGCCAAGCCAGGCACCTACGTGATCTATGTGCGCTTTGGAGGCGTGGATATTCCTAACAGCCCCTTTACTGTCATGGTAAGCACTCTTTTCTCCAGAGCCTGTTGTTGCTAGAAAGTACACCTACAGCCAGCCATATGTTAAATCCTGACTGGGACATCTTGCACACAGACTTGACCTTGGAGAGCCCTCAGTGTGATCACTAGGAACACAGAAACCCTTTAGCACTAAGTGTTTTAGGGAGATTTCTTCGTCCACCAAGTTATCTATCAAACTTAGGGACTTGGACAATATCTTGGCCTACCCTCAATTCCGAAAGAGACACTCTGTAGAATTGTACACTTCTACTCTTTTGTTGTTGTTAGTTTTGGGGTTTAACCTGAGCTTTTTTGCTCGTCTGGTTCTCTACCACTTTGAGCCACAGCTCCACTTCCAGCTTTCTGGTGGTTTATTAGAGATTAGAGCCTCATGGACTTTCCTGCCAGGACTGGCTTCGAACCTCGATCCTCAGATCTCAGCCTCCTGAGTAGCTAGGATTACAGGCGTGAGCCACCAGTACTCAGCCACTTTCACTCTTTAGCAAAGGGAATTGGACAGTTTTTATCCTGATAGTTCTTTCTTCTTCTTCTTCCTGTCTCCAGGGCTAGAAGAGAGAGATCCTGATGCTCTCTTGTCTTCAGGCTTGACTGTTGGTATTTTAGGATTCAAAATACCTCCAGTCCTGTTGGGGAAAGACTCAGATTTTACACAGAGTGGGAAGAGCCTTCTCTTTTGAAGCTGAAAAATCTGGAATAGAAGGGAACCATCATGTGGGTGTCTGGGCTACTGAATTATCAGTCTTTTTTTGTTGTTGGTCATGGGGCCTGAACTCTGGGCCTGGGAGTTCTCCCTCAGCTCTTCAGCTCAAGGCTAGTGCTCTACCACTTGAGCCATAGCACCACTTCCAGTTTTCTGGTTGTTTATTGGAGATAAGAGTCTCATGGTCTTTCCTGCCTGAGCTGCCTTTGAACTGTGATCCTCAGATCTCAGCTTCCTGAGTTGCTAGGATTACAGGCAGGAGTCACTGGAACTCGGCTTTTTTTGCTCTGGTTTTTAAGGTTCATCTAGCAGAAGGGTTAGTACCATAGAAGAATTACCTCAGGTAACCTTCAGAATCAAGCACGGTTGGGCTCGTTACAAATGAGGCATGCCTGGTCTAGACAGACACCAGGTACCTTGTCGGCTTCTTCCCCGCGTCCTTTGATGCAAAGGGGCAGCCATCCTTGACCATGGGTTCCTTAGTCCATGCTGGTCTAGCCCAACCCACAGCCAACAAAATACTTTTTAATTATTTCACATTGTACATCAATGGAAGAGGGCACAAAGCCTTCCAAACAGAAGCCCAAAGGACTTGCTTCCAACAAGTCTATAATCTGTTGTAGCTTTTTTCTTCTTCTCCTGACATTTGTTTATCTATAAACATCATGCCAGAGATCTGCTGGCTCTTTTGTATCTCAAGAATGTAAACACTTGTCAGCTTTGGATGTTGTCCATTTGGGAGTGTTTTTATTCTCCACGGGGAGAAAAGAGGGCAGCAAGAAAGTTAATGTCCTGTTTACAGAGAGGAGAAGGGTCCTAGTTGTAACTTTAAAGATGATTTTTTTGGAGGTGGGGCTGGGCAGGGGAAGGGCCCAGCCTCAGTTTTCAGGATCTTTTTATATTATACTGGGGTTCCTCTGATTGGCTGTATTTAGACAACTATCTTCTATCATGGATGTCTTAGTTCTGCTGGTTTGCTGGGCTGGGGATGAGAGAGCCCTAGTGCTGAAAAAATCAGGGTGAAAATATTAGGGACCATTTTAGCAGCTCAGCAGGGATCCAGACTCTCAAGAATAAATGTCCCCAGCCCTTGAGCAGACACAAAGCAAACATACTTCATGGATGTGCTGTACCTAGCTGCTCTGGTCGGCAAAAAGGATCAAGAAGACTGCAGGCTGGCTTGTTAGGGACATCACACGTGTGGGTTGTGGCATCATGGGTGAGCAGCTTAACGACCTTGCCACTGGAAAGCCACAGCCCAGCTCTTGTAAGATCTAGACTCCGAGATGAGGGCTGTCTTAAATTGGGCAGCATGGTCACTACAGACACCACAGCACACCTTGAGGGTTAAGCTGTGCACCATGGCCTCTTTACATGATTGCCCACCCCTCACCCACATTTCTTGTTCTTTATTATGTTGAGGAGGGGTGGTGATAGATGAGTCCTTCACTCAGTTGGATCAGGAGCATGTAGTTTAAGGGTGTGTGTGTGTGTGTGTGTGTGTCTGTGTGTCTCTGTGTGTATTAGGGTGAATGAACCCAGGATAATCAAGCACTCTACCATTTGAGTCATGTCCCCAACTAGTTTAAGAAAAAATTTTTAATGAGTTTATTAGAACTTTAGAACCTGGAGATACTTATTTATCAAATGAACAGCCACTTCTTTTCCTGACTCCAAGCTACAGAGGTGATTGTGGGCAGCTTCTCTCTGCTGGCACACACTTTGGTCCCAACATAGATGTTGCTTCACAACTTGCTCCCTACACTCCATAAGCTACAGATAGCCTTGTCTATGAAGCCATGAGACTAGCATCTCTTCAGACAAGCTGCCTGGCGCCCTCCACCCCCACAGGCCTACCGTGACTTACTAGGCCTGGCCTCTCACAGATGGACATTCGGTCACTTCATGACCACAGATGGCTCCAGTATGATTCTTACTCACTAGAAATGGAATCGTGGTTCAAAGGACATGTGCACTTGACATTAATGACAGGATACCAGCTTCCCTCCATAAGAGTCATAAGAATATCCAAAAAGCAGTGGGGGAGGAGGCAGCTCCTGGATTTATACTCTGTTAAGTAGCAATATCCCTCCAATGTGAATTCCCAACTAATCACCATTTGCCACTGACCAGGCCACGGATGGGGAAGTGACAGCCATGGAGGAGGCACCGGTAAATGCATGTTCCCCTGGATTCAAGCCCTGGGTACCTCTTTTGGGTTTACCCCTACCTCTTGCATTTCTGTGTTCATTCAGCCTTCATTTCAGAAAAGCTACCACCTGCTTATGGGGTTTGCTTAAGCCCTCTGGGTGTTTTGGCCATTGGTGTGACTCCCCCCTCTCTGCCCCCCCCATCAATCCATCACTATGATCATGCTTTTCTGTAAGATTCACCTTTGCGTCACCATCCGCGCTCCATGAATCACCAGCCATCATGTCTGATCACGCTGGGTGCAGTTTACCTCCATGTGTAAAGAGCAAAATGGACAGCTGTCCTCAGGCCTCCTCCTGCCTCTGAGCTGCCTCTTGCACATTTAGGTTTAATGTCCAGGGGCAAAGCCACTGCTGCTACTCTCTGCCACTTAAAATGCACCTTCTTTTCCAGGCCACAAGCAACTAAACCTTTCCAGGTGGAGCCTTTTGGGACTCAGACATTGCTGTCTCTCACTCCCCTACTTACCCATGGGTACTGCTGGGAATTTTACAAGCAGATTGCTGGGTGAATGCTAGCATTTATCCGTGGGACTTCTTTTTTTCCTTTGGGCCCAGGGCCAGTTAGCTAAAGCCCACCCCCACATCTCGGCCTCACTGGCTTGCAGAATTCCCAGCAGCACTGTCCCTGTAATTGCACAAACCCTCGCTGTTGTCCACTTTCCCCAGTGACCATGGCTTCCTGTTTTTAGGTGACTGAGGAGGCCTATGTCCCAGTGAGTGACATGAACGGCCTGGGATTTAAGCCTTTCGACTTGGTCATTCCCTTTGCGGTCAGGAAAGGAGAAATAACAGGTAAGCCATGGTGAAAACCATTTTCATCTCCCTTGCCATAGTTACCCAGAATGGTATCAGGGGCTTCACCAAACCCTGGACCTGAACACTTTAGCTCCATGCTCCTGCTTCTTGCATAAAACCCTAAGATTTCAGAATGTGTTTCTCTGAAGACACATTCATTTGTATCTTGAAAGCCTGTAATTTCTTTTGATTAGTAGCTCCTATTATACCCTCCCCCCTCTTTTATTCACCTCCCTTTTCAAATGCAGTTTGACACTGAAGTCTGTCGTACCAGTGTTACTTGCTCTCCTCTTGCTTTTTAATGCCTGCTTCTCTTCTGGTTGATGTTCTACTTATCATACTGGTCTTCTCAAGTCTCACCTGAGTTTGTAATTTGCCACTTGTAGAACCCCTTTATTATGAGTTGTCTATTGCATTTTATAGGAGCTAAATGGAACCAGAAAGAGCAAGCAGGTGTCTTGTTTTCCCACTGTGGGATATTTTAGGCAGCATGTGTGTGTTCTTGGGTCTGAAGACTTTGGTTATGAGGGCATCTGTGTGCCCCATTCAGCTTCTCCTGGAAAGGTGCTCAAGGGCTTCTTACCCTGTGTCCCTGTGTTCCACAGGAGAGGTCCACATGCCTTCTGGGAAGACAGCCACACCTGAGATTGTGGACAACAAGGATGGAACTGTCACCGTCAGATATGCCCCCACTGAGGTTGGGCTCCACGAGATGCACATCAAGTACATGGGCAGCCATATCCCTGGTATGTCAGGCCGAGAAGCCCACAGGACTCCCCAGTCCAGGGGCTGGCAGAGGTACTAGCCAGCCACTGTGCAGCAGTGGGTTTTCTGTATGACATCCTTGCCAAAGCAAACAGGTGTGGACCTGTGGCCTATGCTACCATTCTCCCAAGGAAATAAGACAGCTCAGCATCCTGGGTCATGGTGCAGATTCTCAGGCCTGTGGTTATTTGTCTTTGTCATTATGCTGAGTGTGGCCAAAGGTCAGGCTAGAAGAAAAATGTGAGGCGCAGCAAGGGACTTTCCAGCTTGGCCTGCAGAGCCCTGTGGGATAGGGAATGCGGGGTATGGGTGGATGGAGCAGAAGATGTAGTGAGAAGAAGATGGATGGCACTGGCTGGACAAGAAAACACACCTCCTGCTTCTTGGCCAGAATCCAGCACAGTCTTAATCTTGCTCTTTTTTCATGATTATTGAATTTTTTTTAAAATTTAATATCTTGGGTAAGTAACATATTACTTGTGTCTTCCATCCTTCCATCAACCATGTCCTTAAAGCTGACTGTTGTTAGTTTTTAATGTTTGATTTCAGACTATTTTTAAGACTACATGAAAATGACATTTTATTTGTTTTTATTTAAAGTCAGCCCCCTTTTATAGATAGTATTGTACTCTACACATTCATCCTTACTCTTATTATATGTCAGGATGTCCAGGAATGCTTTGCAAGTCCACATGAAAGATTTATCTATACGTCATAGTCTCCCCCCACACCCACTGCCATGGATGAGTCATTGCCTATCGTTTCCCATGGGACCTTTCATTTCTTCCCTCCTTTTACTAGTCTTGTCTTTTATATCCAGCATCTTGCAGTGTGTTCCTGTGCCACAGCGTGAGTGCCTATGTTGCCGTTGCTGGGGGCTTTTCCATCCCCAATCCCAGTAGCAGATGAGGGCGCTGCCATTCCACAGCCTAGCCAGTGGCTTTTGCCGTCAGATTTTTGGATCTTTGCCAGTCTGATGAATGAGAAACACAGTGCCTCGGAGTTGCTTTATTTGCATTTCTCTTGTGAATGAGATTGAGCAACTTCCTAGACCTTTCAGAGCTGTGCGTTTTTTTTCTGTGACCTGAACATTGGTAATCCTTGGCCAGTTTTTCTATTTGATTGTCAACCTTTATGTCCTGTCAGTAATTAAGTTCAATTTCAATATTAGCTACATTAGTTCTTTGTGATAGGAGTTGCAAATACTTCCATTTGCTTTAGTTTCTATTCATATGCATATGTAATAATTTGCTTCAAGCAAAAATGGTGTGTAGATGTATAGAGAACAGAAAACTTCTAATATGGTCTTTCCACTAACAACATGAATACACATCTTTTAGATATTTCTAAACCTACTAACATGCATACAATTTTGTTTCATTTTGTTTTGTTTTATTTCAAAAGGAATGACATCATACATTTTCTCTTTAATGCAACACATTATGGAGGATCTCTCCAGTTCACACAGAGATCCCTCCTTCTTGTTAATGACCCACCTGTGGGACCGGGGCCTTTCCCAATTTGCATATAAATGCTGTGGGAATTAAAGTGTTCATTTCAGGCCAGGAGTGGGGTGGGGTGGGGATGGAGATCCTTGGGGGTGGAGGAGGGTCCATTACTAGAGATGGATTCCCTAGATCAGGAGACAGAAACAAAAAGATCTTTCCAGATGTGTTTCCTGTTGTGGTGGTCCATTGGTCCTTACTTGCCAGGTTGAGTTGGATTCTCTCTCCCTCCAGTCTGGATCAGCCTCTTTTCTTGGGTGACAAATCCGTGAAGGAATGATACTGAGTAGAACCCTCAGGTGTTTTGTAGGGTTTTGTCTTCTGTCTCTGCTCAGGAGGTGCCAAGCCTGTCTGCTGATAGAGTCACATTAAGGTCCTACCTGGTCCCAGGTACTCTGTCTCCACTTAATGAGCCCCGGTTTTGTTTGTGTCGTTGGCAAATGCAGAGAGCCCTCTCCAGTTCTACGTGAACTACCCCAACAGTGGCAGTGTTTCTGCCTACGGTCCAGGCCTGGTGTATGGAGTTGCCAACAAAACTGCCACCTTCACCATCGTCACCGAGGATGCAGGAGAAGGTATTGTGTGGCTCTGGCTTATACATTTGTGGCTTTCATTTGGGAGATATAGGAGGGCAGGGTTAAAACTGTTAAAACTGGATGTGGTGGTGAGTACCTGAAGTCACAGCGACTTGAGAGTCTGAGACAGGAGGATAACTTGAACTCTGGAGTTAAGGTCATTCTCTACACCGTATCTAGACTAGTCTCAAAGACAAACAAAAAACCCCAAACTATTACATAGTAGTATTTGTCATATTTTCTTCTCATATAAGTCTTGTCTTCTATAAAGCTGTTCTGTCTTCTACCCATAACCGAAATTTTTGAAGTCTTGTATTTTGAATGAAGTCCAGTTTGTACAATAAAATACTTTATGTGACTAAGTGAGAATTTAAGTGTGCTTTGGTTTAGAATGTTTTCTTTTTTCTTTATTCACATGAATCCACAGGACCTCACGTGAGCTATTAGTGGCCCAATAATGTTCGGGTCCATTGATAGACAGGTGCATTACTACTGAGACATCCCTCCAGCACTTTATTTGTGCTGCTTATTTTGAGGGGGAAGGGGTCTTTGCTTTTTTTCTGGGCTTAGCCCTACTCCAAGATCCTCCTCTTTTATACTTGCCTCCTGCTGTAGCAGAGATGATACCCAGTTTGTTCTGTTAAAGTGGAATCTGGTGAGTTCATAAGACTCCCATGCTGGCCTGGAACCACAGTCCTCATGGTTTCAGCCTCTGGTATAGTTGGGAAGACTGGTCTATACCACTCTGCCCAGCTATGTGTTGAGAAGAGGTTTCATGAAACATTTTACCTGGGTGGCCTGGAACTTTGATTCTCCAGATGTGAGCCTCTGAATAGGTAGGATTATAGACATGAACTATCACCATCATTATTATCTTCTTCTCCTTCTCTTTCTCCTCCTCTTCCTTCTCCTCCTCCTCCTTCTTCTCCTTCTCCTTCTACTCCTTCTCCTTTTCCTTCTTGTCTTCCTCTTCCTCTTTTCCTTTCCTCCTCATCCTCCTTCTTTTCCTTTTCCTCCTCTTCCTCTTCCTTCTACTTCACAAGTTCTTGCTTTGTAGCCTAGGCTGGCCTTCAACTCCCCAGGCTTCCTGTCTCAGTGCTGGGATTATAGCTATAAACTACCATGTCCAGTTAGACCTTGGGTTCTAATGGGGTTTCTGTAGTGAGATTGAGCTGGACCAACAGTGACAGTCTGTTTCTGGCTCTTCTGTGTATGGGATAATCATGTAGGGCTGTGTCCTTCTCCTCCTCCACATCCTGAAATGCTAGGGTTATGTGAGGGCAACAATTCAAACAGTAAGGTAACTTCTGTAGACAGCTCTGCTCTGATCTAGGCCCCTTTCCTGAGATTCACATGGGGTGTGCATGTGTTATTTCTGGGGCTGCTGTGGAGAAGTTGTAACCTGTGTGGTAACTGCCCTTCCTCCCTGTTTCCACTTGCAGGCGGTCTGGACCTGGCTATCGAGGGGCCTTCCAAGGCGGAAATCAGCTGCATTGATAACAAAGACGGGACATGCACAGTGACCTATTTGCCCACGCTGCCAGGCGACTACAGCATTCTGGTCAAGTACAATGACAAGCACATTCCTGGCAGCCCCTTCACAGCCAAGATCACAGGTGGGGGTGCCTGCCTGTTAGGGCTTCCCTGTGGGATGGATGTCAGGTGTCTGTCTGTCTGACACCTGATTGAGTTTACATTTTACATTATCTTTAGGAGGCACCAGGATGTGAGTTCCTGGCTAAATTTCTCCCATAACTGATAACCTGGGGGGGAGGATGGGGGGGGCGGGGACAGAGCAGCTACCATTTGGACAGCATGTGTCCAGATAGAGGTATTTCAGTAGTCTCTGAGTATCTGAGCTCAAAGCTCAGCCTGTCACTACTAGACAGGTTCATGCTGTCCATTTTGTAGGTAAGGCAACAGTTTAGCCAACTTCCCAGGTGGTATTCTGGGCATCAGAGGCAGGCCTTCCATTGCGAAGCTCCTGCCTCGCGCTCTGCTGCCCGATGGGTTAGACCTTGTCCTCAATGCTTCGAAGGAAGATGCACAAAGCGAGTGAGCTTCCTGCCTCTGACAAATTTTGATCTGCCTGAAGCTGCTAACTGCACTGAATTGAATGGGATGAGCACTTACTTGGAAAATCAAGGGCATGGACATAAATGGGGAGGTTCTTGCCCCTGCCTTTAGAAAGTGCTCCAGGAAGGCTGGGAAGGTGGCTCAGTGGTAGAGTGCTTGCCTTACATGCATGAGGCCCGGGGTTGGATTCCTCAGCACCACATAAGCCGAAACGAAAGTGGCATTGTGGCTCAAGTAGTAGAGCGCTAGCCTTGAGCTGAAGAGCTGAGGGACAGCGCCCAGGCCCAGAGTTCAGGCCCCACGACTGGACCCAAAAAAAAAAACAAGTGCTCCAAGAGCTAGGGCAGTAGCTCAAGCCTGTAATCTTAGCTACTTGGCAGGCAGAGATTTAGAGGATTGCAGTTTGAGGACAGCCCAGGCCTAAAAGTTTATGAGACTCCATCTCATTCAATGGCTGGGTATCACAGTTATCCCAGCTATGGGGAAAGCACAGTGGCTAGGCACAGTGGTAGCCACTGCCATCCTCATCCTCATCCCCAGCAACACAGGGAAGCTCAGATTACGACTACTAAGGTGGCCTGGACATAAAATGAGACCCTACCTCAAAAATAACCAGTCGAAAGTGGTGGGAGATAAGGCTTGAGTAGCATCACACCTGCCTAGAAAGTGCAAGGTGTTTAATCCCCAGTACTACCCTCCCTCCCCACAAATTGGTTCATGAGCCAGGCATTGGTGGCTCATTCTTATAATCCTAGCTACTCAGAGGCTGAGATTTGAAGATCATGGTTTGAAGCCAGACTTATCTTCAGTCAACCACCAAGAAGTTGAAAGTAGAGTTGTGGCTCAAGTGGGTAGAATGCTAATCTTGAGCAAAAACAGCTTAGGAACAGTGCCCAGACTCTAACTTCATACACCAGAAGCAGCACGTGCCATGTGTGTGTGAGCATGCACACACACACACAGAGTCATGGTATGGTGGCATATATATATGATCCCAGCATTCAGAAACTGAGGCAAGAAGATCTCTGAGGACAGCATGGGGCATACAGTCTTTGAGACTGTCTCAAAGAAACAAAACGGAAAAACTATAAAGTGGTCCATTAAAATTCACATCACTACCCAGGCGCCAGTGGCTCACATCTGTAATCCTAGCCTCTCAGGAGGCTAATATCTGAGGATTACGGTTCAAAGCCAGCCTGGGCAGGAAAAGTCCGTGAGACTTATCTCCAATAAACCACTCAGAAAACCAGAAGTGGTGCTGTGGCTCAAGTGGTAGAGTGCCAGCCTTGAGCTGTAGAGCTAAGGGACAGAGCCTGGGCCCAGAGTTCAAGCCCCATAACTGACTCTTTCCCCCTCCCAAAAAAAAAAAATCACATCTCTAGTTGCTGCTGGGCTCCTAGCCTTCCCTTGAATCAGAAGCAAGTACTGATCATTCTTGTTGGTCTGGTCTGCTCATTGTCAAAGGCATATATTTTATCACTTATTAATAATGAACTCTTGACTCTGTCTGGAATAAGCTCTCTGGGGACTGGGGTGAGCCCATGTAACAGAAGACATGTTGGGGACTGTTTCCCAGATGACAGCAGGCGCTGCTCCCAGGTGAAGCTGGGCTCCGCTGCTGACTTCCTGCTGGACATCAGCGAGACGGACCTCAGCACGCTGACTGCCAGCATCAAGGCCCCGTCTGGGCGCGACGAGCCCTGCCTGCTGAAGAGGTTGCCCAACAACCACATTGGTGAGTTAGGGTGTCTGCATGAGTGGGAGACTGGATCCTAAGGGCCTTCCTTGGGAAATTGGTGGCACCTTGGAGTATGATATGATAAACACATGTATGTGATAAAAGTTCAAGCACAAGCCGTGTGCTGGTGGCTCATCCTAGCTGCTCAGGAGGATGAGCTCTGAAGATCACAGTTCAAAGCCTGGGCAGGAAAGTCCATGAGACTCTTATCTCCAATTATCCACCAGAAAACTGGAAGAGTAGCTGTAGCTCAAAGTGGTAGAGCACTAGCCTTGAGCAGAAAAGCTCAGGGACAGCTCCCAGGCCTGAGTTCAAGCCCCACAATCAACCACCCCCCCACAAAAAAAAAAGTCCAAGCACATTTCTGCCATGTTATTATAGACATTCTTGCACCCTGAGTTGTTCGAAAGAAGTCATTTTTCATTTGGGCGAGTATGTTATTTCCCTTTCCCCCACTTTGTCTCCTTTATCTTCTCTCACCAACCATCTGTGTTCTCATCTAGGCATCTCCTTCATCCCCCGGGAGGTGGGTGAACACCTGGTCAGCATCAAGAAGAATGGCAACCATGTGGCCAACAGCCCGGTGTCTATTATGGTGGTTCAGTCTGAGATCGGAGATGCACGCAGAGCCAAAGTCTATGGCCGAGGCCTATCAGAAGGCCGTACTTTTGAAATGTCTGACTTCATCGTGGACACAAGAGATGCAGGTCTGTGGGTGGTTCAAGGCCAAATGCCCAATGCCTATAGGAACTGGCTTCACTCAAGACTGCTTCATCTTCCCCTTGTACCAACACCTCTTTCTCTCTGAGCATCCTTCCTGTTTTTTTACCATCTACCTATGTTACCATTTAAGCCTTGTGACCATGAAGAGAGTAGGTTTTGTTTTATAGATGAAGAATCCAAAGCTTACAGGGGCTACAGACCCTTGTTTTGTTGTCTACATCACCATTAATCTCAGCTTCCCGGGTCTCCTGGACTGGTCCTAAGCAAGGAATGTTAGGACAGCTGACCAAGATTCTCTTCATCTGAGAAGTGCTTTCTGGGAGATAAAGCCTCCCTTCCTGTCCCTTACTCAGATAAGTTAAGTTGGGCTCCACAGAGCTATGCCACGTCCTCTGCCTTCTGGAGTGATAGCCAGATTGCTGGACTTTGGGACACAGAGTGGTAGAATTTCTGATCCCAATAAATTGGAGGTTCCTAGTTGATTCTTCACATTGCAAAAGCTCTCTGATGTCCTGCCCTCAGCAGATGGAGGCTGTTGAAATTCAGCTTCTCTGGCTCTTGGCTGGGGCCAGCCTTTGAGGCAGCACCTGCTGTCCTGGAAGTCCTGTGGGTTGCACAGGACTTGCTCCACAGGAGACCGGCACATGTCCTCCAGGGAAGAGCTCTCTTATCAAAGCCATGTTCTGTACGTTATCTCACTACAAGACTTCTTTGAGCCTTTTGCCTGCTCCTCTGCCCAGGCTACAAGTAGGTGGAAGTAGTGAATTTCAAGGGTCAGATGCCCCTTCTACATTCATGGATGGAGTTCCTCCATCCCCGAGACGTGGTGGCAGAGCAGCTGGGATTGCTTTGTTGCAGGTTACGGTGGCATCTCCTTGGCAGTGGAGGGCCCCAGCAAGGTGGACATCCAGACAGAGGACCTGGAGGATGGCACGTGCAAGGTCTCCTACTTCCCCACGGTGCCAGGGGTTTATATCGTCTCCACCAAATTTGCTGATGAGCATGTGCCTGGTATGTGTTCCCCTCTGCCCTCTCTCTGGGATTCTTGGGTTTATGTCTATACCAGGCCATGGCCTTTGGGCTGCTTACAGGCTCTTTGCCGGTCTTATAGGGAGTCCCTTTACTGTGAAGATCAGTGGTGAGGGAAGAGTCAAGGAGAGCATCACTCGGACCAGCCGGGCTCCATCTATGGCCACTGTTGGGAGCATCTGTGATCTGAATCTGAAAATCCCAGGTGAGTGCAGGGGGCTGGGGAGCCTGAGGGACAGGCCTAGAGCACGTTTATCCAAGCAGGCTCTGCTGACCTTTCCAACAATTTTCTTTGATGTGTATGTGCACAGAGATCTATTTAAGAAAAATAAACCTTTATTTTTTTTCTTCTGCTAAGTGAAAGTAGCTTTATTATGTTACTTGGGGGAGCAAAAAACATAGATTGCCTTTTGATTTCCTATTGTATATTTGTTGAATAGAAGAATGTCATTGAGAGACCCTTCCCTGTTAATGCAATTATCTGGAAATAGTTAAGAGGTGGTAGCCCAGAAGTAGCCTTCTAATGTTTCCACTTGGTTCTTTTATTCCTAAAATGAGAACGAGGGCTGTGCTGCAAATCTGGGTGGGCCACATGGAACCCTTTGGCGATGAATCGCTCCTCACGTTGCTGCAGTTAACAAGCCACCCAGTCTGTCTGAAATTTGGCCTGAGTTCTTCCTATGGGGGATCCTCCTACAAAGAATTCACTGTTGGTGAAAGTTTTGAGGCTTCTCTGCCTCCAGCTGGCGTGTGCTCCAGAGTTATACATATTCTACTGAGAAGTCTAATCTTAAATGATCCTTGGGTGTGACTTTTTTTTTTTTTTTTTTGGTATGCCTACCTCCCACCACCACACCATCCATTATCCATTTGCTTTCCTCTTTTAGGGGATATACATACATACATATATATATTTCTCCCCCTAACACTAGGGCTGGAACTCAGAGCCTGGGTACTGCCCCTTAGCTTTTTTGCTCAAGGCTGGCATCCTATCACTTGAGCTATACCTCCATTTTCAGCTTTTTGATGCTTAATTGGAAATGTCTCATGGATTTTCCTATCTGGGGCTGGCTTCAAACCAAGATCCTCAGCCTCCTGAGAATCTAGGATTTTAAGTGTGAACCCCAGTGCTTGGCTTTGCTGGTGGGATTTTATACGACACATCAACATAGAATCACGAGTGAATGTGGTAACAATGTGGTAACATAATTTTAAAGTCAAGGCAATATCAATTTCTTTCTTTCTTTCTCTTCTCTCTCTCTCACTCTTTCTTTCTTTCTTTCCTTCTTTCCTTCTTTCTTTTTGCTTGGTCATGGGACTTGAACTCTGGGCCTGGGCACTGGGCCTGGATGCTGTCCCTCAGCTCTTCAGCTCAAGGCTAGTGCTCTACCACTTGAGCCACAGCACCACTTCTAGTTTTCTGAATGGTTTATTAGAGATAAGAGTCTTGTGAACCTTTCCTGACCTTTCCTGCCTGGGGAGGCTTTAAACTACAATCCTCAGATCTCAGCCTCCTGAATAGCTAGGATTACAGACATGAGCCACCACACCCGGTGGCAATATTACTTTCAAAAGAGCTGTATGGATTGTGTGTGATTACAAAAGGCGCTCATGTGCCTCAGAGTGGAGGGAATACTGATGGCCTGGGGCTTGGGTTGCTGACTGGTACATTTCAGACGGGACTATCCCTTTGGCCAATCTGGTAGGAAAAAATCTCATTTTTAATTTCATTTTTGGGAATTGTAATGATGTAGGCATGTTATTCATTTTGCCAATGTTCAATTTACTTGTTTCTTTGCAGTGTGAACACGTGTCCTTTATCTTGAGCCTCTTCTGGCTCTCCACTATTTTGTCACTCTTTTTAGTTACTTGTTTTCAGATGACTCTGGGAGAGGTCGTTTGCCCCTTTATCACCCACCTGGAGCTCTGTCATCAGTTAGAAGGGTGGACACCTCACCAGATGCCAGATGTTGTCCTTAGTCCCCCAGGCTATGTGGCTTCTATGCATCAGTTTGGGCTGCTTTAGCAAAGTAACATAAACACCAACCGATAGCCATTTATGTGTCACAGGCCGGGGGAGCCTGGGTGGGACTTGCATGGTCAGGCTCTGGTGAGGGCCCCCTTGCAGGTTGCAAGTGATATCTTGTACGTATGCATGGACAGCAGAAAGGAACACTAATCTCATCACGAGGGACGCCATCTAAGCCCAGGAGTTCTCCAAATGCCTCATCTTTTACAACTTTCACACTGGGACTTAGTGTTCAACGTGAGAAGTTTGAAGGGACATACAAGTTTGGTCCTTAGGATAGCGTGACCTGTCTCTAACCAACTCTGCCTTTCTCTGTCCTCAGGGCTCAGTCTCGAGCTTCTCAGCTCAGCTCCTGTAGGGCCGCAGCCTGCAGTTTCATTCAGGCTCTAGGTGATGGCAGTGCTCAGTGCCACCGGCCCTTCTCCATGTCACTAGAGGCACAATTGTTGGCATGATGTGAGCAGCCAGTAGCATAGCTGTGGTCTGGGTTCCTGTGCTGGTGGCCCAAGGCACTGCTTTTCTGAGTGTGGCCTCTGATCTTTGGTCTTGCTCCTGCATGGTTTCCCCTTTTGCCAGTGTGACTGTCATGTGTTCACCTTTGTCACAAAATGCATCTTGTCTTGTTGCCTGAAAGGAATGCCCTAGATTCAGAGCAATCAAGGGTGAAGACTCTTGTGCTTTCTACCCTTGCATACCCAGACAGAAGAGCCTGTCTAAGCATGGCAAATGGCCTTGTCACCTTTGTCCTGGAAACACCTCCTGGACTACTGTGGGTTTTTATTACATGCTGAAACTTCCAGTTCTGAGCTGCCAGTTTGGCTTCAGCCAGGAAGGCTATAGAAATTCTCAGAGGGGCAAGAAGTGTCAGAGCCTTCAGAAGGCCATCTGCACTGGGAAGCCTTGGAAGACCTTGCCCCTCCACCCTGACCCCTGCCCCAAGAGAAGGGAATCCGAGCTCTCTACATCCACCATGCTGCACCTGCTCACCTTCTGCTGCTTTGTCCTGCATGTCCTCGGCCCTGCTTCAGGCCCTCGCCCTAACCTTTCTATTTCTCCCAACCTCCCATTCCCTTTCAGAAATCAACAGCAGTGACATGTCAGCCCATGTCACCAGCCCCTCTGGCCGTGTGACTGAGGCAGAGATTGTGTCTATGGGGAAGAACTCACACTGCGTCAGATTCGTGCCCCAGGAGATGGGTGTTCACACGGTCAGCGTCAAGTACCGTGGGCAGCACGTAACGGGCAGTCCCTTCCAGTTCACTGTGGGGCCCCTTGGTGAAGGGGGTGCCCACAAGGTACGCGCAGGAGGCCCTGGCCTGGAGAGAGGAGAAGCAGGAGTCCCGGGTGAGTGTTCTTCAGGTTCTCACTGGAAAAGAGTGAGCTGAGTCTAGTGCTCTGGGCACTAGCATTCCTCTGCCCTGCTCTACAGAGAAGACTTGGAATTGGCATTGGTAGGGAACACTTCATGGCTTCTGTGGCTAAGTTTGGGAATCCTCACTTACCCAAAGCTAGACAGGCTTACAGGGAGGGAGTTCTTGGAGCCTGTAACTCGTTAGTGTGCATCTGAATCTCTTAAGGGAAAGCAGAGAAATGGCTGCTTCCAAAGTATCTTGAGAGAATGTGCTAGAATGCTGCAAAACCAATTTGCAAGGGTCCATTCCTATGGCGGCTGCTGGTGGTTAGGTCTGTGGTGAATAACCTGAGCATTCTCATTCTTTTTCTGGCTTGGTCTGGGTGTGTTCCAAAATTCTATGAACTTATAACCTTGATGGTGCTAAGGAAGCCACAGTGATGGCCCTTGCTTGGATCCCGCTGGGGGTTCAAGGAAGAAGAATGTGCTGGCAAGGGGCTGAACCTGGCATTGCAGGCTTGAGCAAGAAGACGCAGGGCCTCTCCTGGGCATGCTCACTACTAACCGGGTGTTTCTTTGCTCTCAGCCGAGTTCAGCATCTGGACCCGGGAAGCAGGCGCTGGGGGCCTCTCCATTGCTGTTGAGGGTCCCAGTAAGGCCGAGATTACATTTGATGACCATAAAAACGGGTCATGCGGTGTGTCTTATATTGCCCAAGAACCTGGTATGTACTCAAGGCTCGATTGAGGACATTTTCTGTGTTTAGAAATTGTCATGTTTCGAAGAATAGAATGAGCTAGCTAAAGTAACTAAATCATGTGTATGGAGGGTGGGGGCATGTGGAAAAACCTTCTAGAAATCCAATGACAGTAAACAGCTGGGCCTTAAAAGAGCCAGGAATTCTTTTTTTTGTCAAGGTGATGTACAGAGGGGTTACAGTTACATAAGTTAGGTAATAAGTACATTTCTTGTCAAACATGTTACCCCTTCCCTCATTTTTCTCCTACTTTCCCTCCCCATTCCCTCCTCCCCTCCAGGAATTCTTATATCACCTCTTGGCCTCTCTGCTATTTTTTTTTTCTTTTCTTTACTTTTGTGTGTGTCTGTGTGTCTGGTGTCTGTGTGCATGCGTGTGCATGCCACTATGGGACTTGGAACTCAAGGCCTGATGCTGTTCTTTAGCTTTTTTTCTCAAGCTGGTGCTCTACCACTTGAACCATGCTCCACTTCTGGCTTTTTTTGGTGATTAATTGGAGATAAGAGTCTTTCAGACTTTCCTGTCCAGGCTGGTTTGGAAATGTGATCCTCAGATCTGAGGATGCCTGGACTGCTGTGTCTTTTTTTTTAAAGCTGCTTTTGTATCCACGGGCCAGCCACACTCTGCCCCCACGGCCTGTGGCCCGTTCGGTCGCCTCAAGGGAGCAGACTCCCTGGAGCCAGAATGCTTCACCTTTTCTGTGCCAAAGACCCTTTGGCATCTAGAGCTAACACCTAAGAGGACTGTTCTCAGGCAGTGTGTTGGAACACATAAGAAGAATACATTTGATTTTAAAATAAGTCGTAAGATACATCTACACAGATTATGTTAAAGTATTGTTTTTGTAGTTACCAAATACGTAAAATAGCAATGTTGGCATGTTTTTTTTGTTTTTTTTTTTTTGAGTCTGTACTGGGCCTACACTGTCCTTTCACTTTTCACGCAAGGCTGGTGCTGTACTATCTGAGCCACAGCTCCACTTCTGGGTTTTGGGTTTGGTGCTTTGTTTTTTTTTTAAGGGGCTAGTTTGGAACCATAATCCTCAGATCTCATCCTCCTGAGTAGCTAGGACTACAGGTATGAGCCACTGGTTCACCTGGCTTCATGAATACATTAAATCATGAGATTTGGTGACAATATACTGGTGATCTTAATTTCAAGTAGCAGTGAGTATAAATGCTATCTATAACAGTAAAAATAGTATAAAAATAAGAGCAAAGGACATCACTCAAGTGATAGAGTACCTGTCTGACACATACAATGCCACTGAGTTCAAGAAAAAAGGGGGGGTATAAAAATAACTGATTTTTTTTTTTTTTTTTTTTGTCGGCTGTGGGGCTTGAACTCTGGGCCTGGGCGCTGTCCCTCAGCTCTTCAGCTCAAGGCGAGCGCTCTACCACT